GCCCGGGCCTGGGAGGGGCCTGTGCTCAGTCTCGCCCCAGGAGCACTTGGCTCCCCGACCTCCCTCTGGAGGCCCCAACCTGGCAACAACCTTCCCCCTGGAGGCAGCTTCTCTGAGCCTCACCCCCAAGTGGGGTGGCAGCCTCCCTCCCGCCCCGACCCCACCCCGGGCTCCTGCTAGCCCAGGCCTCAGCCGTGGTCGACGTGGTGACCCCAACACGAGGACTCTTGACCTTTGCCCTGGGCCATAGTCTCGCACCTGGCTGGGAAGGTGGGGCCAGCAGAGCGGGCAGGTCTGGGAGGAGGAAGGGGGAGGAGCCCCCCCAGAGGCTGGCTGCGCGGCCGCCACAAAGCGGGGCACCCGGCACATCCGTGTGCAGAGAGGACACCAAGAGGGGGAGGCGGCAGCGGAGACCTGCAGGGAGGGCACGCGGGCGTCCTGTGCCCACTGGCAGCCAAGGCCCTGCGGCCGACAGCCAGAGCCAGGCTTGAGCGCAGGGGTGCAGGCGCCAGGCCGGGCAGAGCGGGAGCCAGCGCGCAGCTGTCCACGCGCAGCCTCACACCTGACTGAGCACGAAGCCCCATTTCTAAAGAAATCGTGACTATCCCATCTCTCAAAGCAGGCGGAAGTGGGGTTCTACAGGCCGTAGTTAGGGGCAGGAGGCCAGTGCGCCCCCATATACACACAGCCACGACAGCTGGACTGCGGGGTAACCCTGGTTGGAGCTGGGAAGTTCTGAGGCCCAGGGTGGGGGGCTCCTGGCCAGAAGGCCCCCTTTCTTCCTGCCCCCGCCGGCTGGGGGGGCTGTAAGCAAGATGGGGCAGCAGTGAAGCCCCGGGCGCAGCACCTGGAGCCCGCTGGCGGCCCTCCCTGCCTCTTGACTCGGGGCTCACTCTTCCCAGATGCAGCTGGGAACCCTCCTGGGCTACAGTCCTGGGGGGCACGCCACCGTGCCGCCAGCTCCCCACAAGGTGGGCGTTTATTTGGAAGGACGTGGGGTGCTGAAGGCAAACAGCGCCCATGGCAGGGGCACCACTGCCTGGTCTCGGGGACCTCGGAACAGAGAGGCTGTTCTCCCTGGGCGCCTCCAGCTCCTCCGTCTCCACGAACCAGCCCGCACCCTCCCCTGGCACCGGCCCTGGTCTGGGGGTGCTGCTGGAGCCTCTCCCGCAGCCCTGGGGTACACGTCTGCCAGACAGGTCAGGATGGTGGAAGCAGGGACGTCTGCATGAGGCAGCTGGCCGCGGCGGCACACCCACTGCGAGTGCAGCACCCGGGCCAGGCCAGCCAGTGGACACTCACGGCCTGGCCAGGCACTGCCCTGACCGGCCCCTGGGCCCTCCAGCCCACACTGCCTGCTGTGCCCACTCCAGCCACCTCCCTGGGCCCCTCCGGAGAAGCGAGTCCAGCCTTCTCATAAGTGTCCCCCACCAGGCCCTTCCCTGACCTGATCTCACGGGGTGGTGGTCCCCCAAGAGCACCCTCCAAGCCTGCTCCCCCAGGCCCCCCCCAGGCCCGCTGCCCGGCAACAGGCAACAAGTGCTCTGGCCTCCGGTGGCGAGGGACGAGGCCCTTAGCAAGCGGCTACCAGCCGGGCCACCCCAGAGGGCTCAGCCGGGAGGGCAGGAGGCCGCGGCGCAGACAGTGGACAGTGGCAGATTCCTGCTGCCTTTCCAGGCATCCACCCACGTCCTCCTCGATTCTGAGTGGGGACCGGGGAGAGGGACCCGGGGCAGGGGGCGGGTGTCCAGCTCATGCTGGGCAGGGGGCAGGCCAGGCCCAGGGCTTGCTGGCTGAGTGCCTGCTGCCCAGTCCTGCTGCCCGGTCTACTTGAGGTCTCTCCCGGGATTCAGGACAAGCGGCGTGGCCACGCGGCCCAGCTGGACAGAGGCCGCTCTGGCCAGGCAGAGGCACTGGAGGGCAGCGGCCAAGACAGAGCCAGCCACGAGGAGGCCTCAGGGACCGAGCCCCAGGCAGGCACGGACCGCGCTCCAGGCCGTCCCGACCCGGGCAGGCCCCCGGGGGGCCCCCGCGCAGCTCCTGCCCGGGGTGCCGCCCGCACCTCCCTCCCGGCTCCCCCGCCCCGGCTCCCCGGACCCCGCCCCCAGCTCGGGGTGAGGGCTCCGGGGCCCTGGGATAGGCTGGCGCAGGAGGGGGCGGGGAGGACTTGGGGCGCAGAGCCCGCCCAGGACGCCCCGGTCGGCGCTGCCCGAGCCCCGGGTCGCGTCCGGGCCAGGAAGGGCCGCCCGGCCGGGCCCGCTCGGCCAGGCCCGGGAGACGCGGCGCCGCCCGGGGGGGGGGCGGGGGGCGGGGGGCGGCCGGGCAGGAGAGCCGCACCCCGAGCCCGGGCGCCGCGGACACACCCCCGCGCGGGGCGGGGCGGGCGCGCGCGAGGCCGTGGCCGGGCGCACGTACGCGGCCCCGAGGCGGGGGCGCAGGCCCGGCCCGAGGACCCGCTGCCCCCGCCGCGCCCCGGCCAGGCCAGGCGGCCGCGCCCCGAGGGCCCGGGCCAGGGAGCCGGCGCCCGCCCGCCCGCCCCGCCGGCCCCCGGCCCCGCCCGCCCGCCCGCCCGCAGGCCCACCTTGCGCGTCGCCCCCGCTGGTCAGCACGCCGATGGCCTTGCCGGCCCCCGACGCCCGCAGCCTCTCCAGGTCCACGGTGGCCATGGCGGCGGCCGAGGCGGACCCGCGCTCGCGCTCCCGCCGCTCCGCGCCGCAGAGGCCGGTCCCGCCCCGCGCCCCGCCCCGCCCCGCGCCCTGGCCCCGGCCCCGGCCCGCCCCGCCCCGCCCCGGGCCCGCCCCAATCCCCGGCCCGGCCCGGCCGCCCGCGCCGCGTCGGAAGCCCCGGGGCCGCGTCTGGGCCGCCCCCGGGCGGGCGGGGCGGCGTCGCGCGCGCCGCTGGACAGCGGGGCCCTCTCCGCGGCGGTCCAGGCGCGCCTCCCCCCGCAGCCCAGGGCCAGCCGCCGGCCGCGCCTCCTGGGCCGCGCGTGCGCTGAGCCCGGCCGTCCACGCCCCGTCGGAGGAGCCGGTGCGGCCGCGGGACGGTGTGCGGCCCTTCCGAGGGGACCGACGGACAGCCCGCGGCCCGGCCTCCGCGCCGACCCGTCCCGAGCCTGCGCCCCGCGCCGCGGCGGGAGCCCTGCCCGGTGCCCGCCGGGGCCAGCCGAGCGCGCCCGCGGCCTGGGACGGAGCCCTGGGACTGCTGCCCGCGGGCGCGCTGGGCACCTGCCTTGGGGCAGCAGCGCCGCGAGCTCAGGGGCTGCGCTGCGGGACTCGGGGCAGCAGGAGGCAGTCGCCAGGCGGTTTCGCTCATGTTGTTAGAGGGAAAGGATGTCCTGGTTGCTCTACAACAATGTGGACCATGAAGAAAGAAGGGCTCCCCGGGGCGCAGGGTAGCTCAGCGGGGTGGAGCTGTCGCCAGGCCAGGGAGCTACCCTCAGGGCGCAGCAGCCCCCTCCTGACCCCCGCTGCTCCCCTCAGCGCTGTGTTTCAGGGGATCCACCTGCTCTGCTCCCCGCCCTGTCTCTGGGGAGTCCTCTCACCCCGCACCTCTGGCTGCACCCCAGTTCTGTGTGCATGAATAAAAAATCTTAAAAAAAGAAAAACTGGCAAGACACGGCTGAAACAGCCCTGAGGCTGAGAACACGTGGTTTCTGTGCGCTGGGGGCGCGGGCCTGGCGCTGGGAGGCGAGAAGCGCAGGCCGGCGGGGGGCTGCCCCAAAGGATACAGAATGTCCCGGCAGGACCCCCGGCCCAGGGAGCTGGCACACTGCAGGGCAGGGCAGGGACCTGGGCCAGGCGGGGCATGCACGCGGGTCAGGATCCCCAAGGCAGACTGCCCGCGGCTGGGCGGGCCCTGGGCAACCCGGAGGGGCTGTCTGGCCAGCCAAGCCAGGGGGCAGGGGCGAGGCGGGGGGCCCTGGCCGGGCCGGGCGGGGGCGGGGGCTGCGCTGTGTCCTGAGCGGGGCGGGTGGCGGGTGCCGGGGAGCCGCGCGCATGTTCCTCTGCATCATTTCCTTCACGACAGTCACATTACTTCCTTTACTTACAGTTACAACTGCTGGGGGGGGAGTGCGGGGCAGGGAAGGGGCAGCGGGTCCGGGAGATGAGTGAGGCCGGGAGGGAGACGCCAGCGCCCGGTGGGGACCCGCCGAGGGCAGATCTGACCTCACACACAGCCGCGAGCACGTTAAATCACGGGGGCAGGAGGGAAAAGCCAATTTCTCCCCCCACCCCCCGAAAGCTACTGCCTTCGTGAGCAATTGGGAAACCGCCCGGGCACTGGCGGGGGCGCCCAGACGGGCCCAGGAAGCGGCCGGAGGGAAGGGCCCTCTTTCCGCAGCGGTGGGGCCTGGGCAGCCGCAGGTCGCAGGCCCTGAGCAGTTCACCAGCCGCTTTGGTTCAGCTGTTCTCCTGGTTTCCTGGGGACGCAACCGCCTCTGGCCACCAGGTGGGCCAGCGGGTGGGCCAGGGCTGCAGGCCTGCGTGCTGGGGACTGAGCAGCCAGGCCCAGCACGGGGAGAGCAGGGTCTGGTCACAGACACGGCCCCTCTGTCAGGGGACCCCCCCCCCCCGAGGCTCAGGGGCTTCCGATGCCCTGAGGACGCAGGTCCTTGTGGACAGGTGGTCCTGGCCAGGTGCAGGCTCCGTGGCAGCAAAGTTCGGTGGGGCGAGCCTCAGAGCCCCAGGCCTGGTCACCACAAAGCAGCCTGGTGTAGGGACTCCGGGGAGGGGCGCTGGGTCCCCCCAGAGCTAAGGGGGAGGCTGCGGGCCCATGTGTGCAGCTGGGGCGCCAGGCCTGTGGAGTCCAGGGGGGCAGCCGGGGCAGCAGCCTCTGCTGTGGGTGATGGCCTCTGACCCCACCCCTCCGGCCCCTGGAGGTCAAGCCAGAGCCGGCGGGCAGCCCCTTGCTTGGAGATGGTCATTTCCAACACGGACAGCCGCGCCGAGTCAGCCTGGCCTGCAGACGCCTCTGCCCGCCCCTGGCCCGGGAGTACGACGGGCCCATCCCGCTGAGGGCAGCAGAGGCCACCTGCGAGGAAGTAGGGGCCCGTCACCTGTGGGGTCTGCGGCGGGGAGGGAGTGGGGATCTGCAGGGGGGGATTGGAGGCAACCAGGAAGCTGGCTCCCCGGCCTGGACAGCACTCCTGCAGAAAGCAGGGGTCAGCTGCTGAGAGGACAGCGCCATGTGCAAGCTCTCAGGAGCCTGACCCGTTTGGTCAAGGAGAGTGTCTGTGTCCCCCCTAAATCCCGATGTTGGGGCCCCAATCCCCAGCAGCTCAGAGCATGACTATTTAGAGATGGGGTCAGCGGTGTCTCAGTGGGGCTGGGTCACGGGGCAGCCCTGACCCAACAGGACGGGGTCCTTGGCCGAGGCGCAGGACAGACTCCCAGGGACGCCGCGAGGCCCCGGGGACGCATCCACGGCAGGGGGAGGCTGGGGCCGCCCAGGGAGCCAGCTCTGCTCCCCCGGGCGCTGGAGGCAGGAGAGCCGGCCGGCTGCTGGCGGGCAGGATGCCGGGCGCCCTGCGGACACAGTTCCCGCTGGAAGGACAACCCCAGCCCGTGGAGACGCGGGGGCCAGCAGAGCCGAGCGGCCCTCACCCGCGTCCTGCCTGCTGCCTGGCCCATCTTCAGAGCGTCTTCTTACTTCTCCTGCCTCCACCCAACCAAGGAAAGGCCCAGTGCCAGGCCGCCCGGGCAGAGGGGCCAGCCCGCAGCGGGCAAGCACCAGGCTCCCGGAGGGCTGGGCCACCGGCTCACCTCCGTGGGGCACTGAACCCCAGCCCCTGTGGCTCCGGCGCGCCCCCAAGACAGCTATGGGACCACCTGGGACTCTGTGGCCTGGTCCAGGCCTGGGGGGGCAGCCCCTCCACCCCCTCAGGGCGGAGTCACACTCACAAGTCCACCTGTGCGGAAGGGGGCGCCCCCTGCAGTGCCGGTCAGGAGGAGAAGGCGGGGGCCTCGGCCAGCGGGCGGGACATGCTCTGGATGGCCCACTGCAGGATGCCGTCGAAGGAGTGCTGCGGGTGGAGGGGGGCTGGGGCCGCCAGCGGGTTGAGCCGGGCCCCCCCCCCTCGCCTGGTCTGCAGGCCGCCTGGACCGTGGCATCCCGATGGGCGGGCACCCCCTATCTGACCCCCTGTTCAGATGGGGAGACTGAGGCTTGAGGCCACAGACAGGTCAGTGGGGACGACTCTGCATCCAGAGCTCCTTCTGGGCCCCCAGGCACAGCCACCCAGCTGGGGGGTGACCCCGCCGGCCCCTTCCCTCACTGCTCGGGCCTGCACGGGGAGGCCGGGGCGTTGCCCCCAGTACCCTCACCACGCCAGGTGACCCTGCCTCCTGGGGCCATCCCGACCCGGGTCCCCCCTCCCGCACCCCAGGGTCTGGGAAGACCCTGCAGGGCGAGGCTGGGCCCCCAGGAGGTGTGACAGCCGCCTCGGCCGGGAGCGCAGGAAGGGCCGGCCCGCAGGACGGTGAGGCAGCTGCTTCCTCTTAGGGTGGAGAGTGGCCCGCGAGAGAATGCTGGGGGTACGGGTTGGCAGTTGTCGGCTCCCTGGCAGGGCCGGGCGGGGTGGGGGGTGCCTCTCGGGCACGGGAAGGGGGCGTCGGCCCTCTTGCACGGGGCTCCTGTGCGGGGCCTGGCTGTGCCCAGAGCGGTCTCCAAGCCTCTCCAGGGCGGGGTGTGGCCGGCGCGGGCGGCAGGGAGGGGCAGGTGAGCTACCTCGCTCAGGAGGGACTCCAGGTCATCCCTGTGCAGAGCCGGCTCCTGACCCGAGTCGTCCGCCTGCAGCACCGAGGAGGGAGAGTCGCTGAGGCCCGGCCTGGGGTCTAGATTCCCGGAGGCCACAGCCGGGGGCCCTGGGGGGCAGGGGCCCTCCTCCTCCAGGCAGGCCTTGAGAACCGAATTCTGACCCTGCCCCCTCCGGCGGTGGCGCAGGGCAGGGCAGCGGGCGGGAGGGACCGGGCCCCGGGGAGCTGCCTCCACAGGGGGTGTGGCCCCTGGGACAAGCAAGGGGACTTACAAGCCACTGGAGGGTCCTGCCCCCGAGGAACCGTGCTGGCCACCGTCCAGCAGCGAGGCCAGGTGCCCTGGGGTTGGCGGTGCCACAGGGGCCTTGGGAAAGGCCAGGCCCACCCCACACCCAGCCCCAGGGCGTGCGGGGAAGGGCAGCGGGGCCAGATGGGTCACATTTTGGGTCACGTGGGGGGCGGGCACCCAGCGCAGGTGGGGTGGGTGAGGACAAGCTCCCAGGAGGAGCTGGACTCTGGCTGCTGGGCCCCCTGAGTGGAGCCGGGGGCTGCCACCCACACTGTGTGGGGAGCGGCAGCAGGAGGCAGGGCGGGGGCACCCTTGGGGTGTAAGGTCCAGTGCCCACGCGCCCTGGAGCCAGGCTCCTCCAGGGACCGAGGACAGAGGGTGCCCCCGCCCCAGCGCACCCCTGCCCAGCCAGGTGAGGGGCATCCGGACTCTGCCCTCACCCCACTCCCCTGTAGGGGGGGCAGCCCCCCACACAGCCGAGACCCCAGGAGCAGGGGGGCCGGCAGGGGCGGCTCAGGGAGACTGGGCCTGGCTCAAAGGCAGAGAGGCGGGCGGGGCTCCCGCGAGAGTCTGTTATCAACCCCAGCGAGGGAGCAGGAGATTAGGGGCGCTGGGCGCGGCCCTCAGGTCCTGTCCCTCCCTGGCCCCCGGGGCGCATCTGACCTCAGCGGATGCCGCCTCCCCCGGGCTCGGGCTCGGGTCTCCGGAGCAGGCCTTGCAGCGCGGGGCGGGCCTGCGGGGAGAGAGGCTGCGGGCGGCGGCTCCGCGGACGGGGCCCCCCAGCAGGAACCCCAGCCAGGGCACCCCCCCAGCCCAGCCTCCCCTAGCCCGGCCTCCCCAGCCCTGCCCCCCCCAGCCGGGCCCCCAGCGGCCGGCCTTGCCCGCACTCACCCCGGGCGCGCGGCGCCCCCCGGGAAGTGGCAGCGCCAGTGGAAGGCCAGGGCGCAGCGCCCGCACCGCAGCAGCCCCGCGCCGCCCCCGCACACGCCGCACCGCCCGGCCGGGCCCTGCGGGACGCGCAGCAGCGGGTGACCCCTGCCTGGCGCCCGCCCGAGGGCCTGGGGTGTCCGCCCGGCGGGCCCTCTGGACCCCACGCAGCTTGGAGACACCAGCGCCCGCCTCGCCCACGGGCCCCGCCCTGCGGCCTGGTCCCGGCCCCCAGAGGGGTGGGAAGCGGGGGGAAGTGGCACGCGTGCTGGCCTCGTGAGGAAGTGGGGGGCCGTCAGAGGCCGGGACCCCTCCCGGGGCCTCCTCCCAGCCCCCAGAGCCCCCACCCTCGCCCAGCCCTGGCCCCTCCAGGCCCCTCCTCTTGCCCTGCAGACCCCTCACCTGCTGCCCCTCGGGGCCCGCACACAGGAGGGGGCGCAGAGCCAAGGGGTCCAGCTCGGGGAGGGGCTCTGCGGAGGGCGGGGCCGGCAGGTGCTTGTAGACGGCTGCAGCGTCCGCCCCGGCGGGGGGCTCCCTGGGCAGGCCCCCGGCCTCCTCGCCCGCCGACCTCAGACCCAGGAGAACCTGGCCGGAAGGGGCAGTGCCAGCAGGGGGTCACAGGGGACTCGCCCAGCGCCGCTGCTGGAACCCCGGGAACCCCGGGGGGACCCCGCACCAGGCAGGGAGAGTGGGGTGCACTTCCGGGCTCTGCAACTTTCACAAGACCCGGGCCCCTTCCTGCTAAGGAGGGCTGCCCGCCCGGCACCTTCCCCCACCGCCACCCCCCCGCATGCCACGGCCTCTCGCCTGCCGCACAGGGAGCCTCAGGCGATACGGGCGGTGCGCGGGGTCCCCTGTGTGGGGCACACAGCCCCCCAATCAGAGCATTAAGACCCTGAAGGCCCTGTAGAAAGTCCACCCCTGGGTCACCGGGGTGCGGGTCTGTGCTGGGGGTGCAGACATAGGCCTGGGGCAGGCGGTGCCTACCGGGGTGACTGTGGGCGGCTCGGGGAGCCGGGGCTCCTCCACCCGGAGCAGGTCCCTCGGGGCGCGTCCCTGGAGGCAGCTGGAGCACCTCCACATGCCGCTGCCACGTCCCGGCAGGAGCGAGGGGGGGCGGGGAGGAGGCAGAGCAGAGGACAGGCCCAAAGGGAAACTGAGGCCAGGCGGGAGGGGCAGAGCCCCGGGGAGGGCCTGGGCTGTCACTGCAGGGGAGGCCCTCGCCAGGCTGGGCCGTGTCCCCCCTAGTGCTTCTCCAAAGAGCCCCACACCTGACAGCCCTGCAGGCGGGGCCTCCCGTGCTCGGGAGGGGCAGAGAAGAGGCTCAGCTGAACCCCCTTGTTTTAGCGCCAGTGTCTGAGCCCCAAAGAGAAGTGACCTGGCTGGTGCTGGGGGCGGGGGGGGGGCGGGGAGCTGCTGGAGGAGGGCGGGGCCTGGTGGGGCAGGTGATGGGGACACCGGGCCTCTGAACCCCAGCACCTACTGGGGATCACACCCGCATCCCCACCCTTGGGGAGGCAGCCTTGTCCTCTTGCTCCCCAACTCCAGAGGGGACTTTGCTTGGGAGTGGGGTTCAGCCACTGCTGGGGCGCGGCTGGAGTGGGGGCGGGGCTGGGAGGGCCGGCAGCACCCTGAGCCGCTCACCTGGGGACGTCCCTGAGCGGCGGGGACAGGCAGCGCAGGTGGAAGGCGCGGGGGCAGCCGTCGCAGCAGATGAGCTCCCCGCCGTCGCGGCACACGGCACACTCGTCCTCGTTCTGCGGTGGGACATGCGGCCCTGAGGCTGCGCCCCCCCCAGCGCTCTGCAGCAGTGCCCGGGGCCTGCTCCCCTCCTGGCACTTGCCCGAAATTCCCCACTCCTGGGGTCCCCGAGACCCTCCATCCCTGAGGTTCTAGTCCCCTAACTCCACCAGCCTCTCCCGGCACCTGCGCCCCAGGCACCCCGGACCGTCCCCCCACGGCTGCCCCCACAGACCCGCCTCCCATGCCGCCTCCCTGCCAGCCCTGGCCTGGATGGCACCGTGCCCACCTTCTCCAGAACAGCGGCCCCCACCCCAGCACCCCAGCCCCCAGCCAGCTCCTGGGCGTTACCTGGTGAAGCAGGGGCTCGCTGGGGAGGGCCGGAGGGGCCGGGCCCCTGCCCTGCTGGCCTGTCCTCATGTCGCCCCCGCCCTGCCAGGGAGGAGGGTGGTCACCAAGGGGCAGCAGCCGGGCTCCTCTCGGAGCCGCCCCCAGTGAGCTCCAGCCCGGAGGTCCCGGGGTGCGGAGGCCAGGCCCCCCTGGGGTGGGTGGGCAGCACTCACAGGGGCGGCGGTCTGGGGTCCCTTGGCTCGGACCAGAGTCTTCAGGCCCCCGCTGCCGCCGCCGCGGGTCCTGCTCTTCCCCGCACCCGGGTCCTCACCCTTGCCAGGCGTGTAGAACTCGCTGCCCACCTGGATGCACTTCTTGGAGCCGGCTGCGGGGAGAAGCCAGCTGGCCCCGCCCGCCCCGCGCCCCACCCCGGGGTCAGCCCGGGCCTCTGCCCAGGCGCTGGCTCCCTGCCTGCCCCCACCCCGTCAGCGCTGACGCAAGGAGGGCTCTGTCCTGGGGGATGCGCCCCCACACTCACGCCCACCTGCAGCCCCGGCATGACCCTCTCTTAGAGGGGACCCGCGAAGGGGGCTCACGCTGGGCCCTGAGCCCCATAGTGTGTCCTCGGGAGAGGAGGGGGCGGCAGGGAGGAGGCCGAGGGGCCGAGGGAGGCGCTGCCACCTCCAAGCCCCACAACAAGGCCTCCGCACCCCCAGCTCTGGCACCTGTGACTGCCTGGGGCAGGGCTCAGCCGAGCCCACCCCAGTGGGCAGACCAGCCCCCCCATCCTCGCGCCCCAGCGGGTGCCCAATGTGGGGGTGCCGGGGGTAAGCGGGCGTCCTGCAGAGGTCTGCGTGGGCGTGGGGCTGCGAGGGCTCCGGAGTGGTGCGGGCGTGGCCTCACAGGCGGCCCGGCCTGCGTGTCCAGGGGCCCCGCTCCTTGGGCAGCCCACGGCCCCGGGCCAGCAGGAGGGGGGGACGCGGCTGCCGGCGTGCGGTGGCGCCCCGCGGGGGCTGCGGGCAGCAAGCGGCAGGGCCCCATTCTACCTGACTCGAACACCTGCTGGATGAGGACCCTCTCCGCGGCCCCGCGGGCTCCTGCCACGTCCCCGGAGGACATGGCCACGGCTCTCTGCACCGAGGCGGACAGGGTCTGAATTCCTGCAGAAGGAGCCGCCCAGGGGTCACGCGCCGGGAGGCGGCCCCACGCAACCCCCAACATGGGCAGAGGGAGGGAGAGGCGGCTTCCCACCCTCCACAGACGGACAGACAGTGCGGGCAGACAGCCGTGGGCTCCGGGGTCCGTGCCCTGGGCACGGCAGGGGGCAGAAAGGGACAGGGCTGTGTCCAGCCAAGCGGGCAGGAGGATCCTCTGGGAGGAGCAGTCTGAGCAGGCCCTGAGGATGGGGTGCTGGGACCCCCCACTGGGTGACCCGAGGGTCCTGTCCTTTTTCTGGGGTGTGGATGTGCAGCTGCAGGGCTGGGTGAGGGGCCAGGCCAGGGCATCCCAGCAGCCAGCACAGGCCCTGAGAGGGTGGACCCCGCCAGGCCTGCGGTGGGCGGCTCACCGTTCCCCGGGGTGGGGCGCTGCTGCTCCACACTGCTCTCCGGCCTCCTGGGGGGCTTGACCTTGGCGTGGGAGCCTGCAGGGGGAGCTGTGTGCCCAGAAGGGAGACCCAGTGGGATGTCAGGCAGGGCCCCTCATCTGTGGAAGCTCACCTGCCCACCTGCCCTGGCGCCCCGCGTGTCACCTCGGTGCCCCAGGGGACCGCTGTGGCCTGATGACCCAGAGGAGGCCTGGAGGGGCTCCCCCCGGGGTACCTGGACTGGAGGTGCCCCTCAGGCCCGGGGCTGCTGCTGGGGCCACCCGTGGCTCCTCCACAGCCTTCCTCTTGGTGGGGGGTCTGGGCAGCAGCACTGAGGCCTTGGGGCTGCTGGGGGGCCTCCTCCCCTTCCGGGTCTGGCTGAGGTCCACATCTGCGGGGCAGGGGACGCAGGAGGCGCTGAGCCCGGACTCCAGAGCCGACACCAGGCAAGGCACAGCTTGGTCCCAGGGGTGGCTGGGACCCCAGCACCGCTCGCTGCCCCCTGGCCGCCAGCTGCCCGCCTGGCACGGGGAGCCCCGCAGCATTCGGCTGCCACCCCCACCTTTGGGGAAGCTGTCCAGCACGGGCTGCAGCCGAGCGTATCTCTCCAGGTTGTAGTCCTTAAAGAGGACCCTCCAGAAGTCCAGGATGGCGGCGCCGTCTTGGGTCAGGAGCCAGGAGAGCAGCGCGTGCGTGGCCTGCGGGCAGCCCTCCCTCTCCTGCAGACGCAGGGTCTCCTGCCGCGGGAGTAGCGGCTAGAGGGCAAGCGCCGGCGGGGAGGTGGCCGCGTGGGCAGGGCCCTGGGCCCACTCCTGGCCCCGAGGGGCGGTGGAGAGGCGGTCGGCGCCCCGCGGGAGGGGACGGTCCGCGGCGCCGGGGCGGGCGCGGGGCTGCGGCCGGGCTCACCTGCAGCTTGTCCTCGGGACCACGTCGTGGTCGGCCAGCGCGTGCAGCAGCGGGAAGGCGCTGTCCACGGCCACCGCGATGTCCGTGCGGTGCCTGCGCAGGAGCTGCCGCAGGGCCGCGTCCCCGCCCGCCCGGGGCTCGCCTGCCATGGGGCGGGGCTGGGGGGTGGGGAAGCCCCTTTCCAGGCCTGGGGTCCCGCTGGCGCAGGGCGCTGCAGCCGCACCCTGCAGTGTCTGGGCCTCGGGGCTCCCAGGCGGGCAGGCAGGCGAGCGCGCGGCGGGCCGGCCCGGCGGGACTGTTATACTGACTCCCGGCAGGAAAAGAGCAAAGGCTGCGCCCCCGAGCCAATCAGGGCCCAGCCCCCCCTCAAGGGACGGGGAGGTTCCTCTGGGAGGCCAGTCTGAGCTGGCCTGGGGCACGGGTGCCCGGACGCCCGGGAGCACACCTGGGGAGGACCGCGGCAGGGGTGAGGGCAGGGGTGTGGCGGAGGGGAAGGCGCTCAGCCGGCCTGAGTCAGGCGCAGGGGGAGTTGTCATCTCAGGAGCCCCAAGCTGTGTGTGTGGCTCCCGGCCATGCAGGCCCAGACGGGCTGGCTCCCCCATGGAATGCTCTAGAGACTCTGGCCCTGGAGCAGGCCCCCCATCTTCTGTGTCTGAGCCCCCCAGCTGCAGAGCTGGGAGAGAGGGGCCGAGGAGCTGGGGTGCTGGGGCAGCCCTGTCCTGCTCTGGGCCTTCCGCAGCCACCCAGAAGGGCCCGTCCCTGGGGCGTCTTCCCTGGCCCCTGGCTGGACGCACACACGCGGGGGGTGCCATGGCCACGCAACCCTGGGGCCGACTTCCCACCCCCACCTCGAGGCCCGGGCCCCTGGCTCGGACGCTGGGCTATGACCACGGACAACACGGAGTCACAGGGACGGGCGCCCGCGGGCAGCCACGGAGGCACAGGCGGTGCCAGGGAGCCTGGGCAGCTTTGGGGTGGCCGGTGCTCAGCCCCCTCCCTCCTTTGTGCTCCACCCCCTGACACCACTGCACCTGTGCATTTCCTGGCCCTTGCAGCCGAGGTTCTGGAAGGAACCACAGGCCCTCGGGAGGGAATTCACAGCCACGGGGCAAGGCTTGGCTTGGGCTGAGTCTCAGCAGGTGGCCTGTCCTGGGCGGCGCCCCCTGCTTGGAGGCTCCGGGGAGTTTTGGACTTTCCTGGCCGTGGGGGTTTCCGTCATGGCCCCTCGCCATGGTTGGCCCGGAGCCCCTGAGAGGCCAGGGTGCCAGGCCCGGCCCTGCCCACCCCCTCCAGCCGGCTCCTCAGCTCCTGCTCCTGGTGGGCCTCTCAGCTCTCTCCCGGGGAGGCCCGCCCCACACGCAGGGTGACCCGCTGCCCGCCTGTGCCGGGCCTACCCAGCCTCCAAGGCCACCCTCATTTTGTCTCAGAGCTGCCCTCGGTCAGCGGGGTTCCCCGCTCTGCAGATGAGGGGCCCAAGGCCAAGTCAAGGAACCCGGCAGAAGCCACCCAGCCGTCCACAGACCGCGGGTCAGCGCTCCCAGGACCGGGCAGTCCTCAGGGCCCGTCTCAGCGGGTGTGCCGGCCTGCCCAGCTGAGGGGCCACCAGAGGTCGGAGGAGCAAGCTCCATGGCCCAGTGGGGGCTGGCGGAGGGGGCACTTGTGGGCGAAGGCTGCTGCATGACGGAGGGCCACGTGGGAGGTGCGGCTGGTGGACAGTGGTGACAACGGTAAATCTCACACAGAACGCCACGCACTAACCGAGCAGCCAGCTGGCCACGCGCGCCACGGCCGAGTCCTCTGTTCCGTCCCGCCGGTCCCGTCAGTCCGCCGGCCCTGGCACCCCTGTCTGCTGGCCAGAGACAACTCCTCCCACTCGCCCACATTCTTTTTCAAAGCCACGGTAGCCGTTGTGGCTCTTTAATTTTCCAAAAGCACTTGAGCTTGACCTTGTTCCTCGCCTGGATTTTAACAGGAGCCGCGAGCCCTGCACACCAGTCTGTGGGCGCCGCACTGTGTGGAGCGGCGCAAGCCGGGCCCCGTGATGTCGTTTTTGGAGTGAGTGCGGGGTCCTTGGGGTCCCTCTGGGAAAGGTGTCCCCAAAGTTCCCGTTTCAGCGGCCCCGGCGAGTGCCCCGGGCGAGTTTCTCCAGAGACAGAGACGTGGTTCTGTGCCCCGGGCAGGTTTATTCGGGAAGGGACGGGGGAGCAAAGGGCACTTGCGCAGCCGCCAGCGGGCAGGAAGGGCTGCCCGAGAGAGACGGCTCTGCTGAGAGGCTGCATGGCCGCGGGCGGCCTCCGCTGAGGGGGTCCGTGAGGAGACGCCCGGGCAGGTGCAGGCCACGGGCGGGCAGGAGGCCGCTGCCCTGCAGGGGGAGAGTGGGTGACAGGAAGCACCTGCGCGGGCACGGGCGGGCGGAGGGAGCGCTGCCCCGTTGCGGGGGCCGGTTGGGGTTTGGCATCTTCAGGGAGGGCGCATCTTCGCGGGCGGATGGTCTGTGCCCCTGACCCTCCCTGTAGCGGTGGGTGGTTTCTGGGTGTGGCGCCTCCTGATCTGGGCGTCGGCGCCTCAGGGTCTTGGTTCCCATAACCGGGTTAAGGGATTACGCTCCCCCCGCCCCGGCCTCCTGTGAGTCAGGCTCCTGACCTCGCGTCTCCCTTGCGGTTTTTCCATCATCCTCCATCACCCCGCACCCCGTGTTCAGAGCTTCTTCAGCCTCCTCCGTCACGGCCTCGGCCTTCCCAGCGCACGGGCCCGCGCCTGCCTGGTAGACTCGCGCCCACGTACTTTTGGGAATAACCATTAACGTGGGGTTCAGCCTTGCACCGCGCCGCTCTACGGTTAGAACGCGGGTCCCGCAGGCCCTGGGGCCGCCGGCCTTGGGGCTCGCTGCACGGCTCCCGCTCCAGCGGACGGTGGGCAGTGAGAGGCAGCCTGTCCGCTCCCTGGGTGGGGGTGGGGGTGTCCGCAGGCTCTTCCTCGGGTCCAGGTGTTACAGGACGACCCTGCTATGAAACAGGTTGCCTGACTGTGCCTCACCCGCGGGCTTAAGAAGGGACTTACCCTGCAGGCACGCACAGCGGGCGGCAAAAGGTTTATTTACAGAAGAAAGGGAAAAGGAAGACTCCCTCAGGGAGAAAGAGAGGGAGATAAACTCATGAACTGCTTCCCACCCCTTCTGCCCACCTGGAACCCCCAAGGGCGCTGGGAGCCGGGGACAGCCAAGAGCCGCGAGGCCCGGAGACCGACCTGAGGCCCACGTGCCTGGTTTACACCAGCCCTGGCAGCTTCACCCCACCCTCAGGCCCCGCAGCCCTCCCTTGGGGATGACGGGATTTGCCATTTCCAGCGGCTCGATGGCTTTGGTCTGGAGTGGGGGCGGCGTCCACACAGCCTGCTCGGGACATCATTTCCCCTAACACCGGGAGTCCCTGCATCCTCGGTCCTGAGAGCCCTCACTGGCGTGGCCGTGAGCCGTGTCCTGGGCTCTTTTTGAGGCGGAGCGAGCGGGCGCCTCCACCTCTCCACTCAGCCTGTTAGGCTGGGGAGGGCGCGGGCTGCTTCTGAGCCTGCCTGCAGCTCCAGGCTCAGCCCCTGGGGTCGTGGCTGTGGCTGTGGCTCTTCTCCGCGTTGTGACTCCATGTGCTGGTGTCCTGCGGGGGTTTGCAGGGCTGTGCTGCCAGCGGTGGAATGGAGCCTCTGGGTTCGCCTCGGGGCCCTTAGCTTCGGAGAAGGAATCCGGATGCTCGTGCTGCTCTACACCCAGGCGGGGTCTCACGGCCTGTTTAGGGAAGAGGTGTTTGTGTAGTTCTCTCTGAGCAAAGCTGTCCTAACACCTCGTCCGAGCTGGTGAGCAGACGACGTGCAGGCCCCGGTCACTCGTGTGCTCACGCCTGGGCAGGCGGCCTTGCCCTGGGCAGAGCGCGGCCCTCGTGTGGCAGGACAGTGGCACGGATGGGTCGCCGGACACGCAGCTCCAGTTCAAGACCACAAAGCCCAGAGAGCATCCAGGTCTGGCATGGGGCAGGCACCTGCCAGCATCGTCGGCCTCTGCTGGTGCCTGGCACGCCCTGGGCACTCTGTCCCCGCCAGCAGCTACGGGTCCGGGAGCCCCGAGGCCGCGGCTCTCAGCGTGCCCCTTCCAGAGTGCCCAGCGGGGCCAGCACGTCCACCTGTGCATGCCCGGTGGGTGAAACGTCACCCTGCTGGGGCAGCCGGGGAGTCCCCACCCGCTGGGAGGGCTGAAGGGGTGGAAACCACCCAAGTGCCCCCGGCAGAGGTGGCCAGAGAGCAGGTGGCCCTCGCTGCGCGGGCGCCCCACGGCAGAGGGGACGAGAGGCAGACAGGAAGCCCTGCGCCTGGAGGGCCGCGGGGCAAGGCCGGGGGTGGGAGACTGGGGCTCGGGCCCCTCGCACTGAAATTCGGCCTGACGTGTGAGGACGCGCGGTGTTTTTATGTTTAGGTGGGAGGCGAGACACAAGGGAAATGGCCCCACGCCAGTCAGAGCTCACAGGGTCGGCATTAGAGACACGCGTCCGGCGCCTGCGGCCCCGGAGAGGCCGCCGCGGGCCTGTGCCGGTTCCCGGGTCTGAGCCGCTGGCCCCCGAGCCGGGGAAGGTCGCCGAGGCTGGCGCGAGGGGGTCCGAGGCCAGAGGCCGCCGCTGGGGCCGGGGTGCGGGTCTGCGGCGTGCGGGGCCCCTGGTCAGGCAGAGGGCGCGGGACTCGCCCCGCGCGGCCCCCGCACAAGCAGCTGCGCGTCCGCGGCCTCCGCGCCAAACGCCAGAAGTATTGGAGTACAGACACGAGCTGGGAAAGCGAAACGCAGAAACAGAACGCGGAGGCGGCGCTGCTGAGATTCGACGGGGAAGGCGGAGGCCCCGCGGGAGGCGCGAGATGTGCCCTGCGAACCTCAGACATCGCCGGTGACGGCATCGTGAGCCATCCAGACGCTCGTAACAGGAGAGCATCGGGGCACAGTCTGGAGGGGGGAGCGCCAGTGTCCTTCATCCATAAAACGAGCCTCCAACCGACGCGGAGACGAACACTCGTGCCCACAGGAGGAGCCCGGGAGACGGGCCTTCGCGCTCTGGCCCCCGCGCGGCCTGGAGGCGTCCCCAGAGACCGGCCCGGGCCAGCACCTGGGGTCCAGGCCCGCCCCACTCCGGGGCTCTCGGCCACGTTGTGGGGCACGTCCCGGGGTGCAGTCCGTGCGGGCCAGGAGGGGTGCTGGTGAGTCGCATGGGCCGCGCTGCGCCGGGATGGGCCGCCTGGGGGCTTGGCGCTCGCGGCCTCACCAAGCAGCCTGGTTGCGGCCAGAGGGGTCAGCCTCCGCCCAGGGGAGCCTGGGGCCCGTCCACCCGCGAGCCGGTGCGGGTGTGGGGGGCAGTGGCTGCCGTGGGCCCAGAGCCTGAGAGGCAGGGCTCGCTTTGGGGTCCCCTCCAGCACAGACCCGCCGCCAGGGCTAGTGCCTTCGTTACTCCCACGGCCTTTGCAAGAAGGAACGTTGCTTCCCTCATCACTCAGTCGCCAACAAACATCACAAGACATCGCTCCCCACCCCGAGCCGAGAGCCCAGTGCGTGACAGGACAGGGCGCTGAGCTGCGGGCAGGCCACCCCCCCCCTCCCAGAGGAGGGCGCTGTCCCTTCAGCCTGACCCCGGCTGTGGAGACCTCCAGGTAGGGGTGGGCGGGCGCCAGTGCTATGGCTGCAGCCGAAGCCCCAAGGTGCTCGCTGAGGCCTGCCCTGTCGCCAGCCCGCCCGGGCCAGCTTCTCCCACGTCCGGGAGCAAAGCCCAGAGGGCCCCGGCCAGAAGGAGGATGTGGCGGCTGCGGCCTCCAGCCAGCAGGAGGTCTGGGAGAAGCCCCACAGGAGGCGCGCCACGCAGCCCTCACTCCCCCCAGCTCAACAAAGTGCGTGTGCAGCACAAGTGTAGAGGCAGCGCGTGGGACTCCATTAGTTCATCGAGGGCAAAGACAAAGTCTAAAATTCTGTACCTAGGACAGTCCATAAAAACTGAAAATGAAGAGCCAGGAGAACATACCATGAAGTGCTGGAGCAAAAGAAAAGCCCTGAGAGGCGTCTCAAGCCAGCAGAGCTGCAGACCCCGACGGAAGAGGAGCTCGGGCAACAGTTCTCATAGTGCACGTGAGCAAAAAAAATAATAGTGGAGGAGATAAGGCAGCAGTGGAATAAACACTATTAAAATATGAAGCAGCCACGATTAGAAATAAGAGAGCTAAGAAATACCACCTCCCCAGTGGTGCAAAAGTTAATTCTCAGCACTAGGATGCTCTCAGCAGCCACTGCAGAGTTTGATCCCCGCCAGGGAGCTACCCACACGGCGCAGCAGACCTCGCCTGTCTCCCCGCTGCTCCCCTCAGCAGCGTTTCACTGGCTCCACCTGTTCTGCAACCCACTCTGTCTCTGGCGAATCCTCTCACCCTCCCATGCCTCTGGCCTGTACCCCAGTTCTTGTGTGCATAAATAAATAAATCTTTTTTAAGAAACAAGAAAAACTGTAACTGAATTAAAAAATACAAGTGAGGGCTTCAACATCAGACAAATGCAAGAAATATAATTAATGAGCTGAAAGCACAGCATTGGAGAACACACAAAAGGAACCTGAATAAAACATACAGGGAGACCTCAAAAGATAAGAAAAACAAAACAAACCCCCATAAACAAACTATAAATAAAAAATAACTCAATGGTAATGGGAACTTATGTCTCAACAATCCCCTTAGACATGAAGAGTCAACAGTCACCAAAGGACAAAGAGCCGCTGAGTGGATTTAAAAACAAAATCCAACCTTCTGCTGTTTACAAGAAACTCCTCTTACAAGGCAAGTGGAGATGTAGACGGAAAGGCTGGAGGGCGGTTATACAAGCAAACGACAACAGCATCAGCAACGGCTATGCTTGTATCGGATAAAATAGTCTTGCAACTTTAACAGGTCATGAGAGTTAGACACAGGCTCTGTATCATGACAAGGGTCTGCAGCGGCGGGAAGGCCGCACGGCAGGTTGTCTCCGATTCCAGCAGACCAGACGGGTGAAGGAGAGTCCTGGAGCCCTTGGTGGCTTCCTCAGACTTTCATGGAGCTGTTACATGTAGTGCAGCAACCAGGTACACAGCAGGCAGGGGGGTGGCGGGGCGCGGGTCCAGGAGGCCCCCAAGCCCCCAGCAAGTCTTCACTCTGGGCCTCTCTAGCTTCTTTCTCCCCTTCTTCCTGTTGCCTCTCCCTCCTGCCTCTGCTTCTCTTGGCGAATCTCGATACCTGCCATGGCCCACAAAAGTAAACAGCGCCACTGGAACGCTGTCACAGACGCAGTGCCCCATCAGGCAGGGCAGCCCTAATGGCAGAGGGCAGAAAAGCCTGAAAATCATTTACCCTACAGGGTCTTCTGCAACAGAAAGAAAAACCCATGTGTTTACATCCCTGTGCGTGTGTGTGCGTGTGCACGCGCACCAAATGATGGAGCACCAAGATACACGAAACAATTAGTAACAGAACTAGAGAGATACTTATTGGAAGCTTTTACACCCACTTCTAAGAATGAACAGACCAACGAGACAAATAGAAAAGGAAATAATAGTCTTAACTGAGGAGCCAGACCAAGTAGGTCAGTCAGACACCTGCAGAACACTGCCTCCCGAACCACCCGATCACGTCTTTCTTTCAAGTACACATGGAACATTTTAAAAAGAGACCATATGTTGGCACACCGCTCATTTATTCACAAAACCACAAAGATCAAAATTATATCTAGTCCATTCTCTGACCGTAATGCTATGAAGTTAGAAATCAACCCTAATCGGCCTCCCCGGGGGCGCAGCGGTTGAGCGCTGGGTTGCGGAGCTGCCCGCAGCCTCTGCGGCGCTGGTTCGATCCCCAGCTGCTCCCCGGCCGCCGGCGAGGGTCCCACATGGCGCGCAGACCTCTCCTGCCGCCCGCTGCTCCCCTCAGCAGTGTCCTTCGGTCCTTCTGCCTGCTCTGCTCCCCGCTCTGGCTCTGGTGGATTCTCTCACCCTCCCGCGCTTCTGACTGTACCCAGTGCTTGTGTAAACAAACAAACAAATAAATAAATCTTTAAAAAAGAAAATAAAAAAGAAATCAACCCTAAGAAGAAAACAGGAAAACCATGAGTAGTGGTGACTGAACAACATGCTGCTGAACGGGTATTGTAATATTGGGTAAAAGAGAAAAATCAAAGCAGAAAATGGTGACACAAGCTACCAGCATCTGTGGGCCGCGGCAGAAGCAGGCTTAAGGGGAAGATCCTTACAATAAGGCCCACAGTAAAAGCAAGAAAAATTCCATATAAACAACCTACTATCACACCTAAAGTAATTTGAAACAGAGGAAAAAACAAGATCGAAGCTAATAGAGGAAAGGAAATGATACATAAAATAAACAGTTACAAATAAACAAACAGGTAAACAGTTATAAATAAATAAACAAAACAGCTAAAATCCAGCGAGGCTACCACAGAGAGAGGGCGCGGGAGAGAAAAATTAATCCACAGAATCACAAGTGAAGGAGCAGAAACCACTGCAGACAGCACAGAAATACAACAGACCATGAAAGATGATTGTAAACAACTCTATACAAGTAAATTCAGAAGCCTTGACGGAAGGACACATTTTTCAATCAACATCTTCGACCAAGACTAACCCAGGAAGAAACAGCTGAGTTGACGCATCTGCGTGGAAATCACAAGTAACAAAAAATCTTGCAAATTTTTAAAGAAAAACTAATGACCACCTTGCTCAAATTGTTTTCAAAAATACATTTTAGTACATTTTATTTTATTTATTTATCTATGCACACAAGAGCTGGGGTACAGGCCAGAGGCGCAGGAGGGTGAGAGGACTCCCCAGAGACAGAGCGGGGAGCAGAACAGGCAGAAGGACTGAAACCCACTGCTGAGGGGGGCAGCGGGGAGTCGGGAGAGGCCTGCTGCGCCCTGTGGGGAGCTCCCTGGCCGGGGATCGAGCTCGTGCTGCAGCGCTGCTGACAGCTCCACAGCGCTTAACCCCTGCGCCCCCAGGACAGCCTCGGGTGGTGATAGGACCTCAATATTGAAACCAGACTGAGACAACACAAGAAAATGATAGACCAACAGCCCTGATGAGTGCAGAAGATGTCAACAAAACACAGTAAACCGAATTCAGAACATACCACAGGGATCACTGACTACGAAGAAACGGGATTCGCGCCAGGGAACACGCGTGTTTAATACACACCAGCCAATTCCTGCCCCACAACAGGTGCCCCCGAGGAAAGGGAAATGATGTGGTGCCAGGGGCAGGCCAGGGCAAGTGTTTGATGAGGTTCAGCAGCCGCTTGTGCCAGGAACTGCACAAGATGGGAACAGCCTTCCTCGGGGTCGGAAAGGCCGCGCGCCGCACGCCGGGAGCCCACAGCACCCCCAGAAGTGGGAAACTCGGCGTGTTCCCTTGGGTGGCACAAGGCAGAGATGCCCCCTGCCCCAGCTGCTGCAAAGCCCGGGTCAGAGGCTCCGGCCAGAGCCGGGGGCCCGCGCGGGGGGAAGGGACTCCAGGCCAGCGGCAGCCGCTGGGCCCCGCCACCCCATGGCAGTAGGAGCTGCACCCGGGCCTCACCCCCTTTGCCCAGGGCTAGGGCAGCCTGGGGGAGCCCTGCGGAAGGGCCCCTGCGCCCACCTCCTGCCCTCTCCACCCCAGGCCCCCGCCCTCCCTCTCTCCACCGGCCTCCTCAGCCGCACCTCCACCCCGCGGACGCCACCCCCCTCCTGAGCCCGCGCAGGGCTCCCTCACCCTGACCCTGGCCCTCGGGCCTCCACCCCAGCCCCCCAGCCCGGGGCGCTCAACTCCCCAAGCCCCGCCCCCGCTGCCGCCCCCGCTCGCCGCCCCCGCCCCGCAGGGACCCTGCACCCCTCCAGAGCTCACGGCAGCCGCGCCCCCCCTCGCAGGCCACTGCCTTCCGGGTCCCCCCCACCCCCGCCCATGGCCCTCCCCTCCTCGCGGACCCCGAGTGTGGAGACCCTGGATGACCCCGCGGAGCAGCGGGGCCCCGCGCCCTGGCAGCCGCCCTGTGAACTTGGTGAGGCCCCTGTGCCCCGGCCCCCGCCGGCCTGTGGGGTGCCGGGAGAGACCCCCGGCTCCACCGTGGCCCCTCGGGTGGGGGAGTGGGGGACCCACATTGCACCCCGATGGTGGGCATTGGCCCCTGTGTGGGGAGAGGGTTCCCCCAACTGTGGCTGACCCCGTGGCCGGGTCGGGGAGGGAGGCACACCCAGAGGCCCTCTGGCCCCTCACCCCCAGTTCCAAAGGGGGGGTGTCCCTGGGAGGGGAGGGGCCCGTGGGGTGGTGGGCTCAGCGGCAGCAGGGGCTCCGAGGAGAGCGTGGGTCCCCTTCCCCGGCCCGGTGTGTCCCGCCCCGCTCGTGGTGGCCGCCCAGTGCCGGACCCGGACCCAGAGCACAGCATGGACGTCGTCCTGGTGGACCCCGCCGGGCCGCCCACGCCCGCGCCCCCCGGGGCCTGCCGAGGTGAGGAGCGGGACCCTCCACCTCAGACGCGCCGGTTCAGACAGGCCCGGGCCGGCCCCAGACAGTCGACCGTGGGGCAAGGTGGGGAGGGCCCAGCGGAGCCCCCAGCCCAGCTCCGATCCCTGGAGGCAGAATGGGGGGGCGGGGGCCTCCCTGCCAGTCTGACCCTCCCAGCGTCAGGCCGGAGGTGGGCGCAGGGCTCACGGCCGCTTGGTCTGCCCCAGAGCTCCTCGCGCACGGAGTCCAGGCTCGCCGGCGAGACCCAGAAGGTGAGGGCCGTGCTCAGGCCAGGCCAACGGCGAGCTGGCAGGGCTGGCAGGGCTGGCCGGGGCTGGCGGGGCTGGCGGGGCTGGCCGGGGCAGGGCACGCCCACCTCGCCCCATACCTGAGGCCTCGCTCAGAGCCCAGGCCTGGGAGTTGAGGGGGACCTGACTCCGCTGGATGGGTCCGGTCCTAGGAGCTCTCACCAGCTCCAAAGCCACCTGGGCCCCCCACCCCGCTCCTCCCCTCCCCCGAAGCCCCGGGATCTGCCCCCCCCCCCACCGCCTTCCCTGTGACTGGTAGTGTCAGGTCAACTTCTGAGGGAAAAACAGTCACGGGGACTCTGAGGGCCGGGGTGCTGCGGGGGCCCCTCTGCCAGCACTGCATGGCCCCGGGCCACGGGCTCGCCCTCTCCTGAGAGTCCCCGCAGCCCGCGCTCCTGGGGCCTCACCCCTGCGTCCTCTCCCGCGCAGACCTGTGCATCTGCTGCGGCAGCGCCCGGGTGCACACGCAGCACCCGCTGTTTGAGGGCGGGATGTGCGCGCCCTGCAAGGTAAGCGGGGCGGTGGGGGGCGGCCTTGGGCCCTGGCAGGGGAGGGCCTAGCCCGCGTGGCCCTGCCAGGACAGGTACCTGGACAGCCTCTTCCTGTACGACGACGACGGCTACCAGTCCCACTGCTCCGTCTGCGGCGCCGGAGACACGCTGCTCGTCTGCGAGAGCCCCGACTGTACCCGGTGAGTGCGGGAGCAGGGGGAGCGTGGCGGGGGGGGGGGGGGGGGAGGAGGGGGAGGAGCACCGCAGGGAGCACGGAGAGGAGCCCCGTGGGAAGGAAGCACGGCAGGGGGAGGGAGGCTGGTGGGGGAGCATGGGGAGGAGGGGGGGCCCAGCGGGGGCAGCAGGGAGCACGGTGGGGAGGAGGGGAGCACAGTCCCGGGGAGCAGCAGGGAGCGCAGCGGGGGGAGCACAGGGAGAAGCCTGGTGGGGCGGCTTCCTCCAAGGCTCCCGTGCCCACCCTGTCGGGGCCGAGCCGGGAGCCGGGGCGTCTGGGATGAGTGTGTGGCTTGACTTTTTGCTCTCCTTGCTGAGGCACAGCTGTCCCCCGATGATGGTGTGGAGGGGGGCGGAGGGCAGGGTCCCCACGCCCCCAGGGGTGCTGCTGGGCCGCGGGCAGCGGGGCTGTGGTGGGGGGACACCGAGGCAAGCTCCGCCTGTGGCCTCCGCCGGGTCCCTCCGCACGGCCCGTGCCTGCAGCCCCGCCTGCCCCGCGTCCGGCTCCGCGCCGCCTCAGCCCTGGCTTGGCCTCGCCTGCAGGTGCTACTGTTTCCCGTGCGTGGACGCCCTGGCGGGCCCCGGCGCCTCGGGGCAGGTGCAGGCCATGAGCAACTGGGTGTGCTTCCTGTGCCTGCCCTCCCCCCGCTGCGGGCGGCTGTGGCGCAGGAAGAAGTGGCGGGGCCGGCTGAAGGCCTTCTACGACCGGGAGTCGGTGAGGGGCGGACGCGCCCGCGGGCCGGCGCAAGGGGGGAGTCGGGGGACCCGACCCCCGGGGGACCCGGGGGCCCGGGCGCGTCTTCAGTGCCTTTATCGTGGCGATTTCACCCCTCGGCGTCGGGAGTGAGCGTCGCTGGGCGGCGGGAGGCCGGAGCGTCCGCGTGCCTGAGTCCTGCAGGCCGAGCGCCCGGACGTGGGCGTCCACGGTCGTGACTGGCCGCGAACAGGGCAGGGGCTGGGACCATCAAAGTGGCTTAAAGGTCCCCCCCGTCTGAGTTCTGCCCCCGTCCCTGTGGCCGTCACCCGCTTTGGAAATAGGGTCTTTGCAGATATCCTTGGGGGAGGGTCCGGAGGCACCGTCCTGAGTTGGGGGGTCCTTATGAGAGGGGAGCGGGCGGGAGAGACGGACACTCGGGGCCTGGCCAGCGACCCGCACAGGTGCATGTCCAAGGCCCGGGTGGGGCGGGCCTGGGCACCCCATCCCCGGGCCTCCAGGGGAAGCCACCGCTGACCCCTGGGCTTGGGCTCCCGGCGTCCGGGCCCATCCCGTGGCTATAAACCTCGCGGCCTGTCTCCCCAGCTGGGGCTGCCCGGGAGGCACAGGCGGGCGAGGCCGGCGGGTGGGCACAGTGCCTGGGCTGCCGCCCCAAGGCCAGAGAGGAGGACCCAGCGCTGGGCCGGAGGCTGGTGCTCTCGGGGAGCCGGGGGTGGGGGGCGGCCCTGCTGGGCAGGGGCTCCTCTCCGCAGCCTCGGCCAGGCCCCCTGCCCCATGGGGCACCCTGCACAGGTGCTTGGGGGCGAGGGCAGTGGGGTGGAGTCTCCCTGCTGCGGCCTGGGGCTTGGGTGCGTGTCCCCAGGGCCGTTTGCAGCACCGTGGGGCAGACCCCGGGTGTGGCGAGGCCTGGAGGGAGCGGCTCACGGCTCCGGGCTGTGTCCGGTGGGGCACGCTGCCAGGTGGCCTCAGTCCTGGCCGCCTGGGCTGGGGTAACCTGCCCTCCCGCCGCCCCAGGCCCGGAGCCCTAGCCCTGACTCTCCTGCTGGTTCCCCCGGTGCCTTGCGGCGCTCTCTGCCCGCGTGCCCCACTGCTTGGGCCTGGCCTCCAGCCCGGGCCGCTTCAGCCCCGTCTGCCCACAGGGAGCCCCCAAGTGCCGCCCCGTGGGACGGGGGCTGGGAGCTGCTGTCCGGATGGGCCAGCGTGCTGGCTTGGCGGGGTCCTGACAGGAGGGCAGCCCACCCAAGCCCCCACCCTGGGATGGCCGCGTCACGGGAATCTGCGCGCCCAGATTGAGAGGCTCCCGAGCACCGCAGGGCCTGTCTCCCCCGGCCAGGAAAAACAGCTTCTGCTCCCCCGCTGGGGCCGCTGCCCGCCCAGAGGTCAGGGCGTGGGACAGCGTTGCCCCGCAGGCGTCCAGGCTGCCCGCGCTCACCCTGAGAGTTAGTGCCCCGGGCTCTGAGCGCCCCTGCTCTGCTCTCATACAGCACAGCCCCCTGGAGATGTACAAGACCGTGCCCGTGTGCAAGAGGCAGCCGGTCCGCGTGCTGTCCGTCTTCAGGGACATTGAGAAAGGTGGGTGCAGTGACACCCCAAAGTCCAACAATGGAGGCGGGACTGCCTAGCACGAGGTCCACAGGACCCGATGCCGTGTGTGTGCCGTGTGTGTGCTGTGCGCTGCGTGCTATGTGTGGGGCGGGGGCTGTGTGGGGTGTATGTCAGATATGTGTGAGTGGTGTGTGAGGTGGGGGGGTGTTTGTGAGGGGGGTGTGAGTGGTGTGTGTGTGTGAGTGTGGCCTGAGTGTGCACCGTGTCCCGTCTGGCCCCCCAGAGCTGCTGAGTCTGGGCTTTCTGGAAAGGGGCTCCAACCCCGGGAGGCTCAAGCACCTGGACGAGGTCACAGACGTCGTGAGGAAGGACGTGAGTGGGGTGGCCCTTCCCTGGGGTGCAGGTGCCCAGTCTAGCGTGGCCTGTGTGGTGACCCCGCTGTCCGCGAGCGGGGCCAGAACACTCCTCAGTCAGGGAGCGGTTGGGGGGGTGCCTGCCGTGCTCTCATGCAGACGGCCCCCCAGGTGGCGGCATCGGGACCCTCTGAGCCCCATCCTGGGCGGCGGGTGGCCTGGGAGGCCCTGGGGGACCTGGGGGCCTGCCCGCCACACCCTGTGCCCGGACCCGCCCCCGCAGGCACAACATGCCCTCGCTGAGCAGAAGGGGGTGCCATGCGCTGAGAGCCCCGCAGCAGGCGCAGGGCTGGGGCGCAGGGGCTGGCTGGATGGGGCACAGCTCTGCTCCCCAGCTGGCCCCAGAGCACATGGGAGGGCGCGCCCCTGAGAGCCAGGCCATCACCCCACCGCGGGCCGGGACTGTCACGGTGGCCTCAAGGGAGACTCCGGCCCTACCCCTGGGCCCTCCGGTCGGGTGCCGGCTCCCTGCTGCCCCCGCGGCCGCCTCAGCGCCGTGTCCCGCAGGTGGAAGGTTGGGGCCCGTTCGACCTGGTGTTCGGCTCCACGCCCGCCACCGGCCACGCCCGCGCACAGCCTCCCGGTGAGCGCCCAGCGGGCGGGGCAGCCTGTTCTCAACCTCTTTGTTGGGGCCCCTGAGCCCAGGGCGGCGCCGGCGCATGGGCAGGTTCAGCTCTCGCGGGGTGGAGCCTGTGACCAGCCGCTGCCCTCTGGGCGGTGCGCCAGGGCCAGGCCGGCAGACCCGGGGGGGGGGGGGGGGGCGTTGAGCCCCAGCACCGGGGCCGGTGGTGGACGTCGGCCCAGGGCCCTGGACGCGTCCGCAGCCGCCCGGCCCTGCCCTGACAGAGCTTCCGCCCCAGGGTGGTTCCTGTTCCAGTTCCACCGCCTCCTGCAGTACGCCAGGCCCCCGCCCGGCAGCCCGCGGCCCTTCTTCTGGATGTTCGTGGACAGCCTGCTGCTGGCCGAGGACAGCCAGGCCATCGCCACCCGCTTCCTGGAGGTGAGCGGGGCTCCGGGCACGGGGCGGGGCCGCCTGAGGCCACCCCCCGCTGGCGCACACGAGTGAGGACACCAGGAGGGACCCCGTCCTCGCGGCGCGCGCCCCACGCCCCGGCCTCTGCGCCCTCTCCCCACGCCCTCTCCCCGCGCCCTCTCCCCGCGCCCTCTCCCCGCGCCTTCTCCCCGCTGCCCTCTCCCCGCTGCCCTCTCCCCGCGCCCTCTCCCCGCGCCCTCTCCCCGCTGCCCTCTCCCCGCGCCCTCTCCCCGCGCCCTCTCCCCGCTGCCCTCTCCCCGCTGCCCTCTCCCCGCTGCTCTCTCCCGGCTGCCCTCCCGGACGCGGGTTTCCGGCTTGGGTCGGACTCCCCGGGCCTGCGCAGGGGCCGCTGCCCACACCAGGCCCCGCCGGCACCCTCTGGCCTCCTCGGCGGAACCGCGGTGCTGCCGGGACGCCCTCGAGTGGGCCCGCCTGCGCCCCTTGGTGACCTGGGCTGACCGCTCGCCGCGAGGAAGACGGTCCACGGGGCTCTGTTTGGGAGCGACTCGCCGAGTAGTGGCTGGGTCCTGTCGGCGTCCCCTGTGATGCCTGTGGCGCCCACGCGGGCATTTCCTCTCCCGCCCCGAGACAGGAGCGGCAGCTCCCCCCGCCCGCGCCCCAACCCCACCCGGGGCCAGTTGGGGGGGGCGGGTCTTGCTGGGGCGGGTTCCCGTGGCCGGGCCGGTGGCCATGGCCGGGCCTGGGGCACGCGCGCGCCGGGGCTGTGTCTCTCAGGTCCGCTTCGGCCCGGTCTGTGCTCTGGGGCTTCACCCGTGAGGCCCGGGCTGCGCCCTCACGGTGCCTTTGCAGCGCCGAGCCGGGCAGCCCCACACTGTCCCCGCGTCTGCGGCGTCTCCCCGGGAAGTCTGGCCTCTCCGGGCGCGGCTGCCGACCGGACCGGCTCGCAGGCGGCCGCTCACCGTGCTGCGCCCAGGGCCGGAGCAGGGGCCGCCACGGGACACGGGCCCCGGGCCATCGCCGGGCGGCTCAGGCTGGCCCCGAATCCGTAGACAAAAAGGGGGCCTCCCCCGTGTCCTGTAGCCTCCGCCTAAAGGGGCCGCTGTCTCCTTCACCCCGGCCTGGAGCTCAGGCGGGCGCCTGGGTGCGGAGCGGCCGCCGTGGCCAGGGCAGTGGTCTCGACAGGGCAGTCACGGCCCCTCTGCAGCCCTGTGTCCGGGGAGCTGGGCCAGGTTGCCTGGTGTCTGGTGCCAGGGACCGCACGGCTTCTTGCCTCAGTTTCTCCTGCACGACGCTCCCTCCACCTCCTGCCCGCCCTCCCTAGTCCTCCCAGTCCTGACCGCCCTCAGGGGCCCAGGCGGCCGGTGTGCCGACGACTGGTGCTGAGATGCTGCCCCCTGCCGGCACGGCCTCCGCCCCTGGTGCCAGCACAGCCTCTCACCCCCGGGACAGAACCTCTCTTAGCTCCCAGACACCCAGGCCTTCGTCCTCCTCGCCCGACCCACGCGCTCGGGGGCGGGGGCCCCCATGAGCTGCGGGAGGCACATCTTAGCTGACTTCCCGACCTCGCAGGCCACTCGGAGACCCAGCTGTGCCGCGAGGCTGCGCGGGCAGTCGCCGGGACGGTCTCTGTTGGCCACGTGGGGTCAGATGCGGCCCCAGGAGGCCAGGCCTATGTCGGGCGTGGGGGTCCGGGCTGGTGCAGCCGGGTCGCCCGGCCCACTGCCAGCGTCCACCCCGCAGGCCAGCCCCGTGACCATCCAGGACGCCTGCGGCCGGGGCGCTGTGCGCGTCTGGAGCAACATTCCAGCCGTGAGGAGGTTCGTCCCGCGCCCTCCGCGCCCGCGGTCCCCCGGCGCCCCCCCCCCCTGCTGCGACTCCTCTTCACGCGGGAGGGTCCCGACGTGGCCGCCCATCCCCCCGCTCGCTGTAGACAGGCCGGGCCCTGGGGGCGCGTGTCCCCTCTGTGCGGTGGGCTTGTCCCCCACAGAGGCGGGTCTCCCGGGCGGCCCGAGGGACCCAGGGGAGCCTCAGGGACTGGCCCGCGTTCCTGCCCCCGCCGCCCCGGGGTCCCCGTGAGCCCCTCCTCTGCAGCAGGGACGTGGCCTTGGCCTCCGGAGACGCGGTGGCGCTGCTGGCGGGGGGTGGGCAGGACGCGCTGCCCCCCGGCCCCGGGCCCGGCCCCGGGCCCACCCGGCTGGTGAGGAGCAGCTTTCTCCCGCTGAGAGAGTATTTCAAGTATTTCTCAACAGAAGCCACTTCCTCCTTGTAGATGAGTCATTTACCGTGAAAAGAAAAAAAGGATTTTTCATAGAACAAAGACGACTTTCCTTGTATTGCCTCCCCGTGCTGTTTATTTCCTGGCCTTGGGGCTCCCCGCGGCTCTGGGGGGCGTGGTGGGGGACCCTGCTCTGCTTCCAAAATGTCTCTGTGCGGCTGGGGGTCACAGCACATCTGCTAGGGGTCACCATGAGGCCATCCTCGGTGTCTTGGGGTGCGGTGTGCGGGCGCAGCCTGTTCCCTGCAGGTCTGGCGCGAGGGGCGGCTGCACAGTGGGGCTGCCCCCCCCCAGCCCCGTCACAGAGCTCCGTCGCTGCCCCTGCGCCCTGGCAGTGCACAAAACACCCCACTTGGCCAAGCAGAGGCTGGCGAGCTGGGGGGGACACGGAGAGGGCCCCAGCAGGGCCAGGCCAGTGCCTTCCACGAGGGCGTCCCCGCTCAGGGCTCCTATGCCCCAGGACCCGCTGCCCTGGCCTCCGGGGACGGGGGTGGCCCACAATGGAGGTCACCCGGGCCCTGGGTCCGAGGAGATTTCCTCAGGGTAGTCAGAGACCTGCCACAAGCCACTTAGACAGAGACTGCCGAGCAGACCCGGCCTGCCCAGGGCACTGCCGCCTCGGCCAGCGTGGGCTCCCGGTGCCCGGGGAACCAGACTCCCCACGACTGTCGAGGGGCGTGGGGCTGAGCCCTGAGGGTCAGCTTCAGGCCGGACTCGCTGGCCCCGGTGCCGGGCCCTGCTCACACTCTCCCCAAGTCTCTGAAGCTGCTGTTGGGGTGACAGTGGGGTGAGGCCGGGGTGAGGCTCAGTCAGCAGGTGGACTCGGAGCAAAGCGCATCACCTGCATGACACGGTGGGCGCCTGCCCCCCGGCCCGGCTGCTGAGCCCTGACTCTAAGGGGATGGCTGTGGGGGGGCTGGGGTGGACGGGTGGCTCCAAAACAGCAGGGGATGGTGCCCCAGAGGCCCGAGCTTGCCCCATGGGCCCTGGAGCCTGTGTCCAGCAGGCGCTCCTGGCTGCAGGGCCCTGAGCCCAGAGCTGGAGGACACCCCCCACCCCCAGGGGCCCAGCGGGGGAGCAGGCCTCACCCAGGTGCTGAGCGCCAGCGGACGAGGCCCAGTAGCTGCACCCCAAGAGCTCTCACAGCGCCCAGCCTTGGGCCCTGCCGGTCCTGCGACCCAGGCCTGGCCTCCTGGCTCCCTCCCGCGCGTCTCCAGGGCAGCCTCCCCGGGCAGTGCGGCCGCAGGGCGGTCAGCGCTGGCCTGAGCGGGAGGCACCGCAGCCCCCAAGGACGGGCGGGGAGGGGCACAGAGGCTGCCTGGGGGGCGGGGCCTGGCCTCGGGAACCCCCTCCCGCAGGAGGCGGCTCCGGGACGGGGACCCCGGCTGTGACCCAGCCGTCCCCCCGCAGCGTCCTGCCCGCCGCCCCTGCAGGCGACCCCGACCTGAGGGTGCGCGCCCGCCCTGTGCGGAAGGGGTTCGCGGTCCCCGCTTCACAAAAGGGGAGACATGGGCACAGGAGGAGCAGAGCCGGGGTGACCCCGCCTGGGGCGGGGCGGATGCGGGGGACCCGCCCCTCCCCGCGGCTGCGCCCCACCCCTGAGGGAGCCGTCCCGAGGGGGTCTCCGGGCTCCCCGAGGGTGCCCCAAAGCCCTCTCCCACCACCTACCCCACCTCCGGAGCCCACCAGGGTGCCGGCCGCCCTTCCAGAAGGCGCCCCCCGGCTCGCACCCCAGTTGCCCCACCTTCCCCCACCAGCCCTCCGCGGGGGGGGGACACCAGCAGCGGCGCCCCCGGGCCTGGACGGCCTTACCAGGGCCGCGTCTCCAGGCTCGCCCCGTCCTCCCGCCCCGGCCCCGCCCCTTCTCGGCGCCGCACCCCGAGTTCGTGCCCGCCCCCTGGACTCTTGGATCGAGCCCCGGCCCGCCCTCAGCGCCGGAGCGGACCCTGCCAGGCCTTCCAAGCGCCCCCGCAGTCGGCGGAGGCGGAGGGGCCGGCGGTGAGCGCCTGGACGCGCCCCCCCCGCCCGCGCCCCCCCCCCGCCCGCGCCCCCCTCCGGCCCGCGCCCCCCCCCGGCCCGCGCGCCCCTCCGGCCCGCGCCCCCCCCCCCCGCGCGCCCCTCCGGCCCGCGCCCCCCCCGGCCCGCGCGCCCCTCCGGCCCGCGCCCCCCTCCGGCCCGCGCCCCCCTCCGGCCCGCGCCCCCCTCCGGCCCGCGCGGCCTGCCCGGGGGAGTCTAGCGGCTCCTCCCGTCCCGGGCGGCCGGTCGTCGTGCCGCCCCCGCGCCGATTCGCGGGGGCCGGGGCGGGTCCCCCCGCCAGCGCCGCCCCCGAAGGCCGCCCGGGCCCGGCCCGCCCCACCGGCCGGGGAGCGCGAGGGCGGGCGGGCGCGCGTCCCTTGACCCCCGGGGCCCCCCGGCGCCCGCCCCTCGCCCGACGCCCGCGCCGCGCTGCGAAGGGAGCCCGGGGAGCCCCGCCCCGCGCCCTGGCCCCCGAGCGCCGAGCTCTCCCCGCGGGGCCTGCGGGCCGCCGGGGCCGGGCGGGGCGGGGCGCGCGGGGGCGAGGGGCGGGGCGGGGCGGGGGGGCGGGGCGGGGCGGGGCGGGCCCGGGCGCCCTAACTCTGCGCTCCCAGCTGCGCTGCGTCCAGAGCCCGCGAGGCGCGGGGCGCGAAGTCCACGCTCGGCTCCCGCGGCCCGAGGCTCGGCCCCACCATGGCGCGGGGACGGTGAGCGGGCGGGGGGGCGCGGGCGGCGGGGTGCTGGCGGGGAGCGGGGCGCCGCCGCCCGGGGCGCCCCAGGATCGCGGCGGCCCGCGGGGGCTCCTGCCCGGGTCGGCGGGGCGCGGGCCGGCGCCTGCCAGGGAAGCGGAGCCGCGGCCGGAGGAGACGAGGCGCCCCGCGCCCCGCACGCCGCCCCCAGCCCCCCCTCCCCGCGGGTTTCCCAGACGGGAGGGAGGAGGTGACCCCGAAGCACCGCGGGTGCCCACCTGGGGAGGCACGACCCTGGCATTGCCGGTGGCGGCCGCTCACCCCTCCCGCCTTGGCCGGGACCAGCTTTGCTCCCAGCGCCAGGGCTCCCGGCGGGGTGGACAGCCCCGCCCCGCGCGCCCCGAAGCTGCCCGCGCGTGGGTCAGGCACCCGGCCGCAGCTGGAGTACACGCGGGGGCGCGGCCCTCACGGGGCACCCGGCACCCGGCACCGTCCCCCAGTCGGCTGAGGCCGGGGCAGTGACGCCCGGCCGGGCGCTGGGCCTGGTGACCGGGGTGCAGCCTCGCCCGGGATGGCAGGAGGGCCCAAGGAGAGGGGGCTGCACCTCACATGCCCGCTTCCCTGGTAGGCCCCAGGGCCCTGAGCGCAGGAAGGGGGAGCCGTAGGGGGCACGGGGGGACGGTGGGTCACGGGAAGGCCGGCCTGGCCTTCTGTCTCGGAAGGTTGCTCGGGCACGGGTGACACTAGAGGGTTCCCAGAGGCCTCCGGAACCTGGGGCCCTGGGGAGGGGAGAGTGGCCAGGCTGGCCTTTGGGGTGTGCCGGTATGGGGCGTGGGGGAGGCCCTGGCGGCCAGGGCCCGGCTTGCACAGAACCGCAGAGTGGACCAGCGGCCACTTGACAAGGGACATGCCCCACACAGACTCAGGCCGCTGGGGGTGGGGGGAGCAGGCGCCCCCCCCCCCGCCTGCTCCCCCCCCGCCACCTGCTCCCCTCCCCCCGCTATCCCCCCCACTGCCCGCTACCCACTGCCCACTTCCCGTCTGTGGGTCCGTGGGTCCAGCGCTCCAGGGACACTGCCGGGGACTCCGCCTGGGCCGCCAGCGCCCGGAGGCTGGGCAGAGGCTGGCAGCTTGCAAAGACCCCCCGGGTTGAAGGGGTCAGGAGAGTGCGCTGGGCTCCAGCTGCAGGGGGAGGTGCGGGGAGGCCCCAGGTTGGGATTTGGGACAATCCAGTTCCTGCAGAGCCTGCCCTGCCCCGGCGGGTGTCCGAGTCCAGCGTCCCCAGCGTGAGTCAAGCTCCGGCTGTGCCGTTCGGGGACATCCTGTGGGGTCCGAGGCCGCTGCCCCTCAGCCCGCGGGTGTCTTGTCTTCTCTGCCACACGCACGTTGTTGCTTTGGGGGAGCAGGAGTCCTGTCACCCCCAAGTGCAGGTCCTGGCTCCTCCCCAGGGTGCCCTGCCGGGAACCGAGGTGCTGGCCTGGGCACTGCGGGCGCTGCACCCTCCCAGGGCTCTGCCTGAGGAGGCCCTGGGTCACCTGCCCCCGGGGGCTTCTCTTCCAGCCCCGGACCTGCCTTCCTCCTGCTGCTGTGCAGCCTGCAGGCCGGTGAGTGCGGGCGGGCGGGGCGGGCGGGCGGGCGGGCTGCGGCCCCGGGAGCTGACGGGGAGCCCGGTCATGTGTGCGGCCGAGGGCCCGAAAGGGGAAGGCCCGGTGGACCTGCACTTCTCGTTTCGCTCGGCCGCGCCGGGCAGGACGGCCTCCCCCGCCACCGCCACCGGGGCCTCCGCTTTCCAGATGAGCCGCCGGGGCTTCCTGTTCCTCCCAGCGGTGGCCCCGGCCCCAGCCCCCACACCCGCCGGAGCAGGGGCCGGGGATGCTGTCGGGGCCGCGGCCAGCGGGCTCCAGCCCCGGGGTGTGTCCGGTGGCCCCGGGGGCCTGACCTTGCCGGCCCGGGCAGACGCGGAGCCCGGGGCGCGGACGCCCCTGCCGAGGGATGGGCGCTTTGGTTTCCACGCTTGGTTTCGGGCAAATGACAAGTTCCCGAGGAGCGGCGGGTGCTCGGCCCCCGGCCGGGCCCACCAGGAGGCACCTTTCTCCCCGCCCAGGTGCCGCCGTCCCGACGCAGGAGGTGCGCGCCCTGGTGGGCAGCGACGTGGAGCTCAACTGCACGTGCCCCCAGGGGGGCGGCTTCGACCTGGACGACCTGTACGTGTACTGGCAGACCAGCGCGGCCGGCGGCCCGGAGGAGGAGGTGGCCTTCCACCTGGGCAACGGCTCGCGGGGCGTGGGGCCGCAGTACCGGCAGCGGGCGCACCTGGCGCCGGAGCGCATGCAGGGGGGCGACTTCTCGCTCAGCCTGCGCCGCGTCAGCCCCCAAGACGACCAGACCTTCCGCTGCCTGGTGTTCAGGAAGTCCCTGGACATGAGCCCCATCGCCGAGGCCGTGGTCTCGCTGCACGTGGCCGGTAAGGGCCCCCCCCCCCCCCGTGCCCTGGTCCCGCGGGAGCCCGCCCCCCGCCCCTCCCTCCCGTGGAGACCCCCGCGGGCCCCGTGGCCTGGGACGCTCATCTCCGTCCCTGCTGGCCTTTCGCCTCAGGCGGGCATGAGAGCAACGGGGAGGGGCGTCTGGCGCGAAACCAGCAGGAGCTGAAGAGAAAAGGCCAGTCGAGTGGCCAGTGGGTGGATGGTCGGCGGCCGCGTCCACTTCCGGTGGATGGTGGGCTCCGTGGTCACTCACTCAGACGGGTCCCTCTCCCGAGCGCCACCACCCCCAGGCTCGGGGCTCCCCGTGCCTGCCCGCCCGGCCTGGGGCTCTGCCGCCCGCACGGCTCACAGCCCGCTTCCCCGCAGCGAATTACAGCATGCCGGTGGTCCACGCCCCCCAAGGGCCCGCGCAGGACGAGGTGCTCACCTTCACCTGCACGTCCAGCAACGGCTACCCCAAACCCAACGTGTACTGGATCAACACGACGGACAACAGCCTCCTGGACAAGGCCCTGCAGAACAGCTCCGTGACCCAGAACGCGCAGGGCCTGTACGACGTGGTCAGCGTCCTGCGCCTCGGCCGCACCGCCAATGTCGACGTCGGCTGCTGCATCGAGAACGTCGTGCTGCGCCAGAACCTGACGGTCAGCAGCCGGGCAGGTAGGCCCGGCCTCCGCAGGGCACTGCAGGGAGAGGGCCGGGCGTGAGGGGAGCCGAGCAGACGCCTGGCTGGCGGCTCAGAGCTCCGGGTCTGCCTGGGGAGACAGGCTGGAGGCTGAGCGATGTCTCAGGCCCTCTTGCCCCCACTCGACGGGGCAGGCCCACTGCAGGGGGCTGGCGGGTCCTTCCGGGGGACCCGGCGTGCCAGCCTCCAGGCGAGGACAGCGGGGCCTGCTGCAGCATGGGGCACCCCCGGTGCACCCCAAAACCCAGCAGGATGCAGCCATTCGCTCAGAGCGGTCAGGCTCCAGGGTCCTCCTGAGCCCGCCCCACCGGTGGCCTTTGGGGACTCAGGCGGCTGACACCCCCTCCTGTAGCTGGGCGTGCCCAGGGACTCAGACCAGGCCTGAGTCTGAATTTGGGATGGGTCAGGGCCTCCCTGCAGCTGGTGCAGGTGGACGCGGCACTCGCCGGCTCTCCCAGGTGCTGAGCTGAGCCCCTGCCCTACGACCTGGGCTGTTGCCCACCAGTGTGGAAGCGTCCCCATGGCTCTAAGGTGCCGGGGAGCCTCAGCCGCAAGGCAGCCCGCGGTCCTCCAGGGGTATCTGCAGAAACACGTGTCCCAAGAACACGCCGCTGTCCACTGCATGCTCACCCTGGGCGTGCTGGACACTGACCAAGGGAAGGGCCCCGTGCTGGCGGCGGCACAGGCGTCTCTGTACTGCCGGGGGAGACCTGGGAGCTGCCAGCGCCCGCTTCTCAGGGGCTGATTCCGCCACCTGGGTCTCGCCCTGATTGGTGAGCAAAGCCAGCAGGAGTCCGTGTTTCCGGCCATGCCCCCAGGTGTGCGGCTGGCCGCCCGCCCCGGGAGTGGGCCTTGCAGAGGGCGGGCTGCCCCCTGGGGGGTGGGGGCAACCCCGAGAGATGAAGGGCCCCTGAGGGAAAGTTTTCCGCGTCAGCCTGCGCTTGGCAGGTCACGCGGTCACCGGGGATCTGCCGCCCTGCTGCCCGCGGCCCCTCCACACCCGTGACGGCGAGTGTCTCTCCCACAGACGTGCCCGTGGCAGAGGGAAGCCACTTAACGACGGGGCAACCCCTGGCGCCGCGCGGCGGCCCCTCGACCCTGACAGTCCTGGCCATGACGGCCCTGGCCGTGGCCCTGGCGGCGGGCGTGGCCCTGGGCTACATGTGCAGGACCCGGTGGCTGCGCGGACGCTACGCAGGTACCCGGGCCGGCGGCTCCGGCCGGCGGGGGCGGGGGCCTCTGCCTTTGCAGCGGGGCTGACGCGCACGGTGTCCCGGGCAGCGCTGGGCTGGCGTGAGGCCCACGCTCTGGCGGGCCGGGCCCCGCGGGGTGCCTGGGGAGGAAGCCCAGCGAGACGCGCTGTTGTGCTCTGCTCAAGCCAAACGCACGCCCGGAAAGCCTGGGTGTCGGCCCGGGAGCTCCCCGAGAGGGGCGGGAGGACCCAGCCCGGGGTGGGGCTGACCCAGCATCCACAGGACAGGCTTTGGGGCCAGCGCGGCCCCCAGGCTGCCAAGTGGGTGCCCCCAGGGCCCAGGAGGGTGGCGTGAGGAAGTGCTGTCCCCGCCCTGGGCACTGCCGCGCCAGCCGGCTCGGACGGCTCCAGGCTCCAGCTCGGCACGTCGGCGCGCGTTTCCTGTGCTCGCCTCTTTGAGCGCGTCTTCCTGGAAAGCGGCGTGGCCAGCGCCCGGCTGGGAGTCCTGCCCAACCAGGCGGGGAGCAGCGCGCTGGGGCCTTCAGAGCAGCCCTCCATCCACCCTCCCCTTCTGGCTTGTTCCAACAGGCGCCCAGGCTGCGCAGCCGGAGCTGGGGCTGGCCGGTGAGTGACGGGGTTGGGCTGGACAGGACGCTGGGCCGGGCAGGGGGCGGGGGCTGCAGCAGGCAGCAAGTGGGTTCAGGCAGCAGGAGCGGGCATGTCCCTCTGTGGAGGCGCCGTGAGACCCGCAGGCCTGAGTGTGCAGCTGCCGTGTGGCGTGGCTCCCGAACCCCCCAGCAGGACCCCAGGGGCCGCCCACCTCCCCCCGTCCCCCGCGCTGCCCCGCCCCCTGGGCCTCAGTGCATCCTGACAGCAGGCCCTTCGGGCGGACAACTCCTGAGGCTCCCTGGCCGGGTGGAGCCGCACCCCGGTCAGCGCATCCGAGCTCGCGGGGCCTGGACCGTGCATCCCCCAGCGGGAAGGCGGGGCGGGCGGCCCCTTGTCACCATCCTCTTCCTCTCTCTCTCCTCCAAGGCCACGCCTGACGAGAAGCGCTGCCCAGGGGCTGGGCAGGTGGACGCTGGCCCTCGCCCCTTGTGCATGGACACGGGGCTGCATGGGCGCCGGCCTCCACGGGGATGCACAGGCCCCTGAAGCAGCCCGCCCTCAGCCCGCGGGTGCCTCCGGGCACGTGGAGTGTGCAATAAGGTCAGCCGCGGGGACCCCAGGAGCCGCACTCGCAACAGACACGCTTAGGCAAGACCACGCGCCTGCCGGCCTGGCCCTCTCCAGGCCACGGCGGAGCCGCCCTTGCGCCGGGCAACGGCTGGGAAGAGGCGTTGCCCGAGGCTGCGCCCGCGCCTCACCAGCCTGCACCCGTGCCCTCAGCCTCTGTCACGCCTGCCGGAGCCCAGTCCCGGGCCCCCGGGCACAGCGCAGCCCCCGTCCACCGGCGGGCAGGCCCACGGAAGACGCCAGCCTGCAGAGGCCCGAGGGCCCCGCACGCGGATCGCATGGGGCAGGCGGCGGCCCCACGGCGGTGTGGTCTTTATGCCAGGCGTCCATTTGGCACAGACATGACTGAACGTGAAGCATTAGGACACGCGCAGCATTTAACAGGAGGACAGGGCGGTCACCAGCTGGCCGCGAGTGAGGGGACCGCACCCTCCAGGTGCCGGCCCGAGAAGGCTGCTGCACGGAGCCCCCGGCCCAGCCGGGCAGGTGTCCTCTCTGAAGCCATCTCCGCGGAAACCCTCCGGCCAGCAGCAACCCCTTGGGCACGCGGCCCTGCCTGGCCCCGCTCAGCGCCCCGTTGTCTCCCTGCTGGACCCGGGCCTCCGCCTGACAGCCCCCACCCCGCACCCACTGACCAGCCACTAGGGACAGTCCGCGCGGTGCAGAGTGGGCGAGGCCGGCCTGCTAGCCCCCGCTGCCCGGTTGCCTGCCGGCTTGCCGGCCCAGGCTAGCCAGCAGCTGTGTCCAGAGGCTGAGCCTCGGGCGTGGCCTGCTGGGTCTGGGGCTCAGTCATGGACCATGTGCCGCCCCAGCGAGACCGGCAGTGGTGGCACCGTGGGTGGACTGGCAGGGACGCGGTAGCCTCCGACCGGGCGGGCGCTGGGCAGGTGCTGCTCTCACCGTCCGAGGGGCGGGTCAGGTCAGAAGCAGCACGTGGCTGAGGTCAGGGCCGCCGGGTGCAGCGGTCACCAGACTTGGGCTTCCTGCCCCGCCCCCGTCCGTGTCTCCCGATGCACCTGGCCGGGGCTTGGTGCACGGGGGCCGACCCCGGCCTGGCCAGTCTGTAAAGCCGAGTCAGAGCAAAGTCTGGGTGAGGTTTTGTCTCGTGCTTGCGGGCCCAGGACCTGGCACCGCCTCGCCTCGCGCTGTCCTGCAGATCCGCCGGCCCAGGCCCTAGCTCTGGTGGCTCTGCCCGCCGGGGACACGGTACGGGCTGCAGGCCTTTGGGGTCACACTTGGCGTCGCACTGGCCTCACACGGCCAGGTGACAGACTGGCTGCGACCCCCACCAGCTGACTGTCCCCGAGGAGCGGTCAGTGTCCACAGCAGCTTTGGGCCGTGCCCGGTCCAGAAGGGCCCCCCCCGGGAGGGGCCAGGGAGGCAGGCGGTGCCAGGGCAGGGGCCCCACTCTGCTCAGCCGGCCCCGGGGACGTCCGGCAGGCACCCTGGCGCATCCGGGCCAGGCACGGCCGAGGCCACACAGCAGCCCCTGCACATCGGCCGCGCAGATTCCCCCTTACGCTAGTCCGGGCAGCCTGCTGTCGCAGGGGCTTTTCTGCAGCAGCCTTTGACCACGATGGACGGTCCACGGGCGAACTGACCACGCCGCGGGGAGAAGCTCCACAGAGGGGCTGTGCGGCAGGCTACGGGGCTTTGGCTAAAATAGCCCCGACTTCCTGTCTGCCTGAGGGTCTGAAAGAGGAAGCAGCCGGGCCACCGGGTCACCGTTGTCCTTGGGGCGCTGTGGGGCCCCCGCCCGCCGCTCTGCCTTGGCCGTGCTGCGGAGGCGTGTGTTGCCCTCCCTCGGCAACGGCCAGCTCCACACTGGCCCGGGCTACCACCCCGGGGCGGGCGTCCTCGAGGCAGGGGAGTGTTCAGACACCAGGATGTGCCCTCCCAGCCCCACCGTCAGGGCGGCCGGGACGGTGGCTGTGCGTCTGCCATCCAGGGTCACGTCCAGGCTGTGGCTCAGGCGAGCCCTGCAGGTTGAACTCGTGGGATTTGCAGGTCACCCACACACGGCACCCACCCCGGCCTCCTGGCCGCCTCCTGGGGCTCTCCAGAGGCCATGAGGCTTGGGCACTCGGGCCGGGGAAGTGGGGGTGGCGTGCCCGGGGCCACCACGGGGGTGAGTTGGGAGCCCGTCTAGGGCTACCAGGGTTGGGGCTGCGGCCGCCCTGCAGCCGCAGCTGGAGGGGCGTGAGCAGGCACGCAGACGCCGCCGCTCATGTTTGTATCAGATTCCTGAAGCCTGCGGCTCGGGCCGCCAGCCGCACAGCCGCCTGCTCACAGCCCGGGCCGGAAGCAGGCGCCTGCAGGTGGCGGCCACCCGTCCCCTGGGCTGAGCCTGTCACGCTCTGTGGCTTGTGGGCGGCCGCCTCCGGCCTCGTAAACATCCCTGAGGCGCCTGGCGGTGCGAGCCTCTGTGCGGTCGTTGGTGGCCACGGTATGAGGCCTGCACATCCCGGGGTGGCCCCTTGCCCCGTGCGGTGATGAGGGGACCGCATGGGCACCCTGAGAGGGGTCCTCTCTGTCCCCTCCCAGGCTCTCCCACAGTGCCCAGGACAGGGCCACACAGGACTGTGGAGCTCCTGGCAGGACCCTCCTGGTCAGCTTGGAGGGAGGCACTGGGTGGCCCTGGGCCGGGGAGTACAGAGCTCCCAGGCTCAGGTGCTGCTGGGGTGCTCCAGGCCGGTACCCCGCTGGCCCCCTGGGATCGGGGGCACGCTGAGCACAAGGGGTCCCACTGCCTGGTTCTGTCAAAGGAAGACGAGGCCCCGGGCCAGGGCTGGGTCCGGTGGGCGGGCACGGAGGGCGAGCCCACGGCTGGTGCTGGGCCTGGCTCTTTGGGATCCCGCAGCCAGAGGCGTCGCTGCAGCCGCGGGGACCGAGTGCCCGTCCATCCGCCTGGGGCGCCGCCGGCCAGCCAGCCCCGGGGGCTCAATGCCATTTCTTAGCCAGGTCCCTCCAAGTGATTTATCTGCATCGTGGCATTTCCTGTCCCGGTGTCCCGCCCCGTGGAGGACGCTGCCGTCCCCAGGTCCTCAGCACGCAGGCCGAGGTGCCAAGCAAGGCCCTCACGTGCTCATCGGCGCCGGCCGCTCTGGTCGGGAGCTTTGCCCTTGGCAGCTGTCGAAAGGCCCCTCCCCGTGGCGGGGCTGCCGGGGACTCGCCCGCGGACCCCCCGCCCCACACCGTCTGCTCAGGAAGTCCCTGGATTCCCGGGCGCCGACTCGATGTAACGCGGCTCCTCTCGACGGACGGGCTTTCTATCAGTTTGTTCAAAAAACTATTTAACGGCCTCTATTTTTAATGCTCTCAGCTGAGGGCCCCAAATTTGTCTTCGTGAGTTCAGGGCCCAAAAGAGTCTCATGAAACTGCTGTAACCGTGCTGTGCAAGTGGGGCTTTCTGCCCCCCACCCCAGAGGAAGTGGCCACGGGCTGGAGGGGCGCCCAGAGGGCAGTTCAGCCCTGGAGACCCCGGCGCTGGGGGAGCAGGGCGCTGAGGCCGAAGCCCCGCTCAGGGTACACACTGCTGCGCCAGCCCCCCGCCCCGGCTTGGGGAGCAGTCACAGCTGCCCCTCTCCCTGCAGAGAAGACGCCAGGCCCGTCCTCGTCCTCATGGCTCCCTAAGGAGGCCCCGCCAAAGCCCAGCAGGAACGTTCTCCCCAAGGGCGCCTGGGGGTGGAGGGGGAGACCTTCCAGGCCCTCCTGCTGCGCTCCCGGCTGAGGACAGAGGGCCTGGTCTCCCCCGGGGCCAGGCACGGGACACCCAGGCCCTGGCAAGGCTGCTCTCCCCCGAGGACCCCTCTCAGGCCCGGTCCTGTGTCCCCGGTCCTCGGCCACGGCCCAAGGAGGGCTCTTCTGCCCAGCCTGGGTCATCAGGGTGCGGCTGGGCTCGCCTGTCCACACCCGCGCTTGGAGCTGCGGCTCCGCGGGGAGGGGCCCCCTCCTGACGCCAGTGCAGCTGCTGAGGTTCTGACTCCAGGGGGGGGGCTGTTCTTGGCAGTGGGGGTTTGGGCTGAGTCAGAGGCGGTTTCCCATGGAGGGGGGAGGGGAGGAGGGAGTTGGGAGGAGGGAGGCAGGGGAGGAGGGAGTGGGGAGGAGGGAGGCAGGGGAGCGGGGGCGGAGGGGGAGGGGTGTGGAGTGGGGCTCAGGGCCGCTGGGCGAGGCTCCTCTGCCGCCCTGGAAAGCCCCGAGGGCGCGGTGGGCGCAGGTGTGCGCGGGGTGGGAGGGGACGCTTGGGTGCCCCGGCAGCCGCCTGTGAACCCTTTGGCCCGGGGTGCTGGGAGCAGAGCAGACCTGGGGGGGCTGGGCTGGGAGCCTCCTGGCCGTGGGAGGGCAGAGGACCGGGTGCCAGAGGCCGCAGCGCCCCCCACACACACTATGGCCCGGGTGGGCGCCGGGCCGGGAGCTGGCGCGGCTCGCAGGGGGCCGGGTCCGCTGACCTCCGCCCTGCCGGCCACCGCGCCCTCCCAGCGGGACCTGCCCCCCCCAGGGGGGAGCCCCCGCGCGAGGGCTGAGGGCGAGGAAGGGTCCCTGAGGGCTCCTGATGCACCCCGGCCACCAGGAGCGGGGACAGCTGCCAAGGGGGACCCCATCCAGGACACCGCCCCACCCCGCCGGGGCTGCAGGCATCTCCCCGAGACCCGCTTCACTCCCAGCCAATACATAAGTCTTGTTCTCTCTCCCCGGGGCGAGGAGCCTCAGGGCCCAGGGCTGGGAGGGGCGCGGGGGGCCAGGTCAGGGTATCCTCAACCACCCGGCCTGTGGGGCTGCCGGGAAGGCCAAGATGGGGCGTCTCACAGCAGGGACTTGTCTCCACGCCGTGGGCCGGGCCCCAAGTCAAGGAGTCCCACCATCCCGCCCCCCCCCCCGCCCTCACACGAGGCCAGTCTGGGCACCCAGGACAGGCGGGGCGGGGGGAGGGAAGCGGGGAGGCACACGCGGGCACAAGCAGGAGCACACGGACAGGTTCACGGGCCGCAGAGGCCACAGGCCAGGTCCGCGGTCAGAGGGTGCCCAGCGCCCTCCCCAGCCCCGCCCCGGGCGGGCTCTGCTGCTGGGGCCCGTCCATCCGCAGCGGGAGGCGGGGTGGGCCGCCAGGCCTGCAGGTTCACCAAGGGGCCAGATTCCACCCAGTCCCTTGTCATCGGCCCACGGAGCCGAGGCCCGGCAGGACCGAGTCACTGGCAGGCCCTGCGGGTGCAGTTCCCGCCATGCCATGTGCCAAGGAGGTCCTGCGTGTGTTCACCCAGGGCCCAGCCGAGGCCACATGCCCGGCCCAAATCTGGAGCGCCCCCAGCCCTTGCGTGGGTGGGGGTCACACAAACCCAGCGCCCGCCCTGCAGAGCCGCAGAAGCCAGCCCCAAGCAGAGGCCCAACAACGGGGTCAGACCATAAGCTGGAACAAACATCCGGAGAAGCCCGCCCGACCCCGGGTTGGGCAACGAGTCCTGGCGCCGACACAGGCATGGAAGCCAAGAGCGTCTGCGCGCGGAGCACAGGGCAGGCGCCTCCCCAGGGACATCGGAAGTGGCCGTGGGCGGGGGGACACCCCCCGCCTGGCCCGTGGCCTGGGGTCCCGTGTGCTCCCTCCCTTTCTCTGTCTCTCCAGACGCGCCAGCCTCCTCGCGCCTGCCCACCTGCAGCAGCGAGGCGTGGACCAAGCAGACTGCCCGCAGAGCCGGGGCCTGGCTGGGCAGCATGGACGTCAGAGACCCTGAGGGAGTCAGTCCAGGCCTTCGTGAAAACAGGGAGGAAAGGCTGCTTTTCTAGAACGTTTTAGATAAAGCAGTTGTGGGAAGACCCCCCACCACCCGGGCACCAGAGCCCAGGGCAGGAGACCCGGCCCCTGGCACGCTGCCTGAGGCGAGGGGCCAAGCCGAGAGCGGAGGGCACGGGGGTCAGGGAAGCTCGAGGCCGGGCAGGGGCCTCCCGTGACCTGACCGCAGGACCCCGGGGCCAGCGTGACTGGGAGGTGGAGGGTCTGGCTCCTGGTGGGCAGAGCCCAACTGGGCAGGCGGGCGCAGACCCACAGGCTGGGCGACGCTGGCTCCGCGCCACACAGAAGCAGCCGCCACAGCGTGAAGTCCCCCCGGGGGTTCCCAGGCCCCCCAGGCAGCTGCAGGCCAAGCCCGCAAACACCCCGGGAGACAGGAGCACAGCTGCGGGGCGCGGGCCGCCTGGAAGAGCCCCTCCCCGCGCCAGCGGGCAACACCAGCCCCACAGCACCCTGGCGAGACGGAAAAACCCAGCGTGGAAGCAACCGTCACGCCAAGTGACTTTTCCATAAACCTCAGGAAACCCGGCGCTCAAGAAACAAGCTGCTTCGGAAACAGCGGCTGGAGGAGCCACCCATGCGGGCGCCGCGCCTGTCGCTCGGGGACGCCGACACCTGCAGCGCGGGGCCGGGCTGAGCGCCGCGGACAGGGCCGGGGCAGCGAGCGGGGGGACAGCCAGGCTCGGGCCGAGGGCAGGCGCCAGAGGACACCGGCCGGGCTGGGCTCGCAGGCGGTGGCGGCTCCCGGAGAAGACACCGGACAGACAGCCGGGCACGGACAGACAGGGGCGGCACGCTCAGCCCCGCGGAGGCGCACCCCGGCTGAAGGCCGGTCTCGGCCTGCTGCACAAAGGGCCGCCTGGCGTCCAGCGAACCTAGGGGGACGCCGGCCCAGCGTCTCTGTGCTCCGGCGCCGTCCACCTCAGCCGCGGCCTCCAGCCGCGCGGTCAGGGCGGGTCTCCCTGGACCGGGGTGCTCCCACTGTCTCAGCGCTGAGGACTCGGGGTGCCCCCGGAGCGCCTGCCGTTCCTTCCTCGGACGTTTCTGGCTGCATCGCTAAGCAGGGCGAGTGTTTCCCCATCGCGACATCCTCGCGCTGAACAGAATCGAGAGATGGTCCTTCCTGACGCCGCAGCCCAGGTCACTCCCAGCGCCCACCCGGCCCAGGACGCCTCCCCCAGCTGCTCCTGCCCCAGGCTCAACTCCCCGGCGGCGGACCCTCCCAGCCTGCAGCGGGCCTGCCTGAGGCGTCTCAGGGGGGGGGGCAGGAGCCTGGCCTTCCCTATGGCTCTGCCGCTGGAGACCGGCCTGCTGCCCGCAGCGCCCACTGTCCACCTGCCGGCCTTGAAGCGGCAGGTCCTCCCCGCCTCAAGGAGCCCAGTGGGCGCCCCAGGTGGGGTCCGGCCCTCCA